TTGGGGTCATCCGGTAGTATAACCAAGGCTATTGAGAGCCCACGTGTAGCTGGCAGGCTGCAGTTATTCTCAGATACTCAGGGTGTGGCCTGCATGCCCTTTCTGAGCAGCCCAGATGGAGAGCTACAACAGCAGAGCAATGTGAGGCACCCAAGGTTGCAAGGCAGGGGTGACAGTCCCCCACAACTCTGAATTGCACTCCTCGTATGTCACAGTCCCCCATTAGAAATTACAGGTAGCATAAGCTCTTCCCTCTTTGCCTGGCTCAGGCCCCTAGACGGTGTTCCCTATCAGATGTCACTTCTTACAAAATCAGAAAAACAACGCAAATATTGCAGGAAGTGGTGGTGCATGCATCGACTAGCTCCTTCTCAGACCGCAGCATTTAATTTTTTGCTCAGCATTTATAGTCCTTTCTGGCCTTAGTCAGTCTGATATGCTTAACACAGGCCATAGAACTTCACCCAGTAATTCCTGCAGCAACCCTATTACTGCTGGCTAAACTAGAGTATTTTCTAGACAGAGGTACAATCTTGATTTAAAAATTAAGTGATGGAGAATCCACCACATCCCTTGGTAAAGTCCAATGGTTAGTTACCCTCATTTAAAAATGTATGTCTTAGTCCCAGTGCGAATTCAACTTCCAGCCATTGCTCTTTCTAGATTGCTTGAGCCCTGCTCTAAGTTATGTTTGCAGGATGTTTGCTAACTTTACGATGAGTGTTTATCCAATCCCTTCAACTAGAGATACAAAATTGGGGCTTGTCTCATAGCAAGTGAGGCCTAAGATGTGGAAACAAAGAAAAGGAATTAGTAGAGACTCAAATTTAACCCAGATTGAATTGATTCTGGTAAGAACTGATATTACAGGATACAGTGATAAGCAAAAATTCCTAGGGAATCATACCTAGTCAAGTCAGCCTTGCATAACTCATTAAAGTTCATGCAAGGTTTAGCCACCTACACCAATAGATGAGTAAAAATAATAGCAGAGGTTGCAAGAAGCTAATGTTAACCTTGTGAGTACACTAGGTCTTACAAATTTCAGAGTAGCAGCCATATTAGTCTGTATCCACAAAAAGAACAGGAGTACTTGTGGCACCTTAGAGACTAACAAATTTATTTGAGCATAAGCTTTTGTGAGCTACAGCTCACTTCATTGGATGCATGCAGTGGAAAATACAGTGGGGAGATTTTATATACACGGAGAACATGAAACAATGGGTGTTTCATACAGACTGTAACAAGAGTGATCAGGTAAGGTTTCCTTGCTAAATATACTCTGCTATGCTGGTGAGCCCCAGTGAAAGGGTAGAATGCTGGAAGAACAGTAGAGGGATGTACTACACTGTCCTGTTCCAGATCTCCTTTACAGTGGAGCTATGCTGGTTTACACCAGTTGACTATTTCACCTTGATTGGCTATGCCTGGTTATCTTTGATCACACTTCTTTCTCAATCTAAGGCAGCAACTGAGATGACTAGTGATTTTCACTTGACAGACACCAGGCTGAAGTTCTTGCAGGCTAAAAATTTACAATGGAAGATAACTGACTATGGAACTTACTTTACCAGAAATCAGGATGTGCTTGAATCTTGCTACTTTGGAGCATAAAAAGTAAAGCCCATGTCTTTGCAATATGTCTTTCCCTCCATTACCTCAGAATAGCTCAGTAATATTTTCTTGGGGCAGGAAGGGGAACAAAACAGGGATTTCTAATGCACACACAGGGTTTATGCTCCCTTCAGATAGAATTCACTGCTCTCCCTTAACTCCCCAAATTCAGCTAGGACAAAGGTACTCAAACTTTTTCCACACAGTAGATCAAATCTTGAGTCTGCATTATGAGCACCTCCCTCTTCAGGATAACATGTTAGGGTTTATCTTCACTGGGAAACTTCATTTAAATACTTACATTTAACAGTCTAGGTAAGCAGCATGCTGATTTGGTAAATGCTGATTAAAGTTTACCAACAACTTGTGCTTGTCTATGAGGAGTGGTCAACACCATATCTTCTAAGTTGATTGTTAAGAATCATGTTTGAACTCATTTTAAATGACTGTCCATACATATTCCATTCTCAGTGTGCACACAGTCCACATGCTCAAGATCGGAAACCTTTTGCCTGTGGGGTCAGAACTTCTGCTCCAGGGTTATGTAATCCCTTTCCTCCTTCCCTGAATGCTGGGACAACATATGCATGTTTGCCAATTTCTTTACTACTGAAGGTCTTGAAAAAAAAAACTCAGGCACCACATGGTGGTAATGATCCAGATAGCACCACCCCAGACCATTTTGCTGTCCAGATCTAAAAAGACCATCCATCCAACAGTAACACTGCTTCAGATTATAATCTCCCAGAATAGACAAGATTCCTCATTCTGACCCAATCTTATTGCATCTCACAGCATGGGTGCTGGCTAACAGAGGTGGAAAGATGCTGATGTTCAACACATTTTAACTCGAAGCAGAAAAGACTCCACATGACTGACATAGTTAAGTGGAAAAATTTCCCTACTTGGGCAGAGCACTTTTCTCCCATGGAGATTCAGACCCCCTTTGTTTTGGATTCTATCATCTTAACTCTGGTCTATTAATTCTATTACAGTGCACCTGGTAGCAATATCAGCCCACCATCCTCCAATCCAAGGTCACATGATATTCTCACATCCACCAGTAGCTAGGTTCCTCAAAGGCCTAGTTCATGTATTTCCTTCAGTCTAAGAGCTCCCTCTTTCCTGGGATGTTCATGTAATTTTTAACTAGATAGGTTCCCTTTCTCCCCCCTCTTTGAGCCCTTGGCATCATGCTGGCTACATCATCTTTTAATGAAGACAGCCTTTTTAGTGGCACTCACATCATCCCAAAGCATAGGGGAGATGAGGCACTTACAGCAAGGCCATCATACAAGGTCTTCCACAAAGTTACCCTTCGCACCCATCCTTGTGTACCTTGAGATCTACTTTCATCTGAACCAGATAATCTCCTTGTTTTCTTCCCCAAGACAGACGGCAATCAACGGGAGACTAGGCTCCATACTTCAGATGTGCTCTGGGCTCTATCCTTTTGTCTTGATAGAACCCAAACATTCAGGGTCTTACCTAGACTGTTTACTACTTTTGCAGATAGGGTTAACTGCCAGGCTATATTGTTCCAAGGACTTTCAAAATGGGTCTCCAATTGCAATAAACTATATTATCTAGCTAGTTTAGACCTCCACATCAAAGTCAGGTCAGAACTCATTCAGCTAGAGTGCAGGCAGCATCTGTGGCTTCTCCAAGAGGTGCTCCAATCTCTGAAATGTGTAGGGCAGCTACCTGGGATCAACACATACCTTTACAAGACCCTATTCCCTTGTACAGGCATTTATTTCGGTCAGATGCCTGTTTTGGCAGAGCCATCTCAGTTATTTAGATTCTGAGCACGCACCTTCTGTACATTAGGTCAGTGGTTCTCAAAGCTGGTCTGTCGCTTGTTCAGGGAAAGCCCCTAGCGGGTCGGACCAGTTTGTTTACCTACCGCGTCTGCAGGTTCGGCCGATCGCGGCTCCCACTGGCTGCGGTTCGCCGCTCCAGGCCAATGGGGGCTGCAGGAAGGGTGGCCAGCATGTTCCTTGGCCCACGCCGCTTCCCGCAGCCCCCATTGGCCTGGAGCAGCGAACCGCGGACAGTGGGAGCCGCGATCGGCCAAACCTGAGGACGCGGCAGGTAAACAAACCGGTTCGGCCCGCCAGGGGCTTTCCCTGAACAAGTGGCGGACCAGCTTTGAGAACCACTGCATTAGGTTATTGCTTGCAAGTCACCAAGAGAGGAATACCTATGGACAATCACTTGAATTCAAAACAATTACTTAACTACAATTACTGTAAGGTCTGAGATGTGTTGTCCATATATATTCCATGACCCATGCTTTTTCTCTGCTAATATGGAGTCTGACAACACCTGGATTCTGTACTTGCAAAGGCACTGATAGACAGTTGACCTTGCTCTGCTCTTTATGCTCTCGGGGACACAAGGGCATTCAGGGCTCAGTCCTAGCCAAAAGACAATTCTAGCAGAAGATTCTGAACTCAGGTGTGTTGGGCACCAAGAGTGGAATACATTTAGACAGCACATCTTGAAGAAGTACAGTTGCTATAAGGTAAGTAGAAGTCTTTCTAGTCACAACAAGCAGCAACTATAGCCATTGCTTACATGAAAAAGGTGAAGATTTTAGTGTATTTGTAGATGTCTTAATGGAATTTAGGAGCTGAAAATGGGAACATGTGACCAGTCTGCTCAGTTGGCTCACCAGAGGTCCAAAGAACAGGGTTTGGGAACCTCTATCTAGGAAATTAAAACAAGCCACTCGTCTATAAACTTGTTTGTGAAAATATGAATGTTGACAGCAAAAGGATTGTGAATTGCTCGTCTAATGAGCTACACCTCATGTTTTAATGAAGGTAAACACTGTGATTAATCACAATACAGTACCACCTTAGGGCCCCTACCTTCCATCAGGGTCTATAGCAAGTGAACTTGTTTGTAAACTTATTCTTGGGTAAAGGAGAGTTTAAATTCAGCTCTGCTGCCTCCTCCCATTGTACAGATGCTCAAGAGTAAAGGGCTATTTTGGCAACAGAGCAGGGACAATGTCTTTGGGAAAACAGAGCTCTGCTCCCAGGGTCAGTAAGCCTGGGATGAACCACAAGCTGAGGAGTATTTTCCTTCTTACATTCCCTTATTTTGTTTTCTTGTTGCAAGCATTATCCCTTGAGAAAGAGCAAATATTTTTTCCTGTAGTCACATTCAACTATCTTATGCTACACTACAAAAATCTGCATAAATTACTGTGTGTATTTCACTACCCTGCAATTATTTTTAAGCTACTGGGAACCTGACTTCTAATTTTTAAAGAAATTGCTCAAAGGATTTATATGCCCTTTGTGTATAGGGTGAAAAAAAATGACAACCCCAGGGTTGCATAAGTGAACCAACGAATGATCAAAACAACTTTGAAATATTTTAACTAAAGCCTTTTATTCTGTACAACTGTGAAATACAGATAATTTACCCTTTTGGCATTGCAGACGCCCTTCAATCTCTCCTGAAACTGCATTATTGGGATGGTTGGAAGAGTAACCTTGGCTGATTTCAGACAAAAAAACAAACAAACAAAAAAACCCCCGAATGAACGAATGAACTGGGAGCAGTTACAATGTATACAAAGGGACAGCAAGACAACCAGAAAGAATCACTGTCTATTAGAACAAAGCATAGACCTCTGCTATTAATAAATACAATTCAGGACAATTTATTAATAAAAGTTACACAGTTCTGCTAAACCATTTAATTCACAAATATCACTAAAAATGTGCAATATAGCACAATTGTGTCAAATGGAGTATGCACAGAAATGGGGCTTCCTTTCAAGGAAGGGAAAAAGACATGCTAGCTTAATTCTTAACCATACCCTCTTGTTTAAGTGGTGACTTTGTCCAGGACATAATGCATTTGGATATTTTTCTAACATATGCCAGTGGGAAAAAAAATTTTTTTTTGTAGTTTGATCACTATAAAATCCCAGTAATGTATCTGGGACTTTCTGTAGGCCCCAGCCTAAATCCTGATAGCAAAACACAGGAAGGGCAAGAGCACACGTCTCCTGAAGAAACTTGAATAAATATACTGCCCTTTGAAGGCACTTGTGCTTCTGTTTCAGACAAGAGTCATATTGTACACAATTTTGTGGTGAGGATTTTTAATTTGTTTTGGCTACAAATAGTCTTTTGGGACAGTCCCAAATTTTCTTGCCAAAAGATGAAATGCTTTCCCCTCCCCAGTAAGTTAAACTTTATACAAGGCTACTATGAATATATGAAAGCCTTAGATTTTTAGAAAGAACAGGAAAAGAAGATGTGTACAGCTATAACAAAATCTGCATATAAAACTTGGGAAAAAAGAATACAAATGCTTTTATATCATGGGTATGAAATTTGCTACTGACATCAACAAATAAAATTTAAATTTTCAGAATGGTCTTAAATTTTTTAACAAAATGCCACAGAAGTATAGAGCACAGTTTCTTGGAATTCCAACTAGCGTGTCTTTAAAACAAGGACACATTGCAGGAAGAATTATATTTTTTTTAAAAAAATCTATTAAATTTTGCAAAACATGTTTATTCTATTATGATGCACAGCATCACTGGACTGACCCTGCTATAATACTTCTCTAGTGTTCTCAATCTGAATGGCAATAGCTCTCTATAAGAACGTTTGAACTGCAGTATTAAAACAATTCTAATTATGTTAACCTTTGACTTACAATTAAATGGGCTACTACTTTCAAGTGTGCAATAGCATTCGGTGTTTTTTGAGATTTCTCTAAGTGGTAAAAATTATTTTTATGAATAACCTGTGAAAAATCATTGTAGGTAATATATGAATGGAATGTATTCAAAAAATACAGTGCATGCATTATGAACATAGTGACTAATATGGCCAAAACAGTGTTTCATATCAAGCCCGAGCAGATGAAAATTTAATGCTCTGGAAAAAACAAAACCAGAAGGAAGCAAAAGTCTGCACTGGATTATCATCTGTTCTCTGTATACCTCACATAACATGAACCACTAGGGACTTCTCATTTCACTTGCTGTGCCTTAGCTAGGACAGACTTTAGTTTAAGTCATATAGATTTTTTTCTCTATATTACAGATCTATTAGTCACTTCAGTTATTAAATGTATACTCTCTGGTCCATACTGAGTCATTAGAAGTCTCATCTACCTTAGGGTTCAGTGGGCTTCTATAGTACTACTCTTGGAACCAGTACAGTAAGGTCAAGTAAATGAACAACCATTTGAGTCCATCATTCCTTTCACGTTGATTTCTGTCGGTAGTGAAGTGTCAGATCACCACCACTCTTCCATATGAAGTGCTTAACAGTTCGAAGGTCCATATTTGGATCCAAAACCTGCAGTGTAAGAGGATTTATATTTTATTGCAGAAGACCGGTAGATATGTTAAATCTTTGGATGCTGGAAGTTTTGATTTTCAGACAAGCATATTCTAGGCTGACAGTGGTACACCATACTAATAAGGACTGGTACCCAGGGGCTAACATACATTAGAGAGCACCAACAGCAGCATATATAGGCTTGGAATGATTATTAGTAAATGTCAGTAAACATCAAAATGTATAGATAGGCAAATAAGAAAAATGCCGCTTGAGTCCCACCTTACTGTCTATAAAGTGTACTGTAATACTGGTATTAGTGGAGTTGGAGAAGGGGTGCCATTTAAGTGGCTTTAACTTACTGAATCTGAACATCTACTGTCTTTCCCCCCATAATTGAGACTATTACACTCCTTTCATTTGTGATCCAAGGAAGTTTGAAACCTACTTCCAAAGTAGCAGTGCCTCTTGCTGTGCTATTGCACATATTGCCACTAAACAATTTTACTACTAAACCTAGCAGGCAATATACAAATATGCTCTGAAGTTAGACAGATTTTGAACAGGACCAGACATGTAACAATATTCTAAACCCCACAGTTTATTTGCTTAAGTTAATCTTAATGATGTTATACAGAAGTGTGATTACAATTTATTGCAGATTGATATCAAATTCTAGGAGGCATACAATAGATGAAAATGGGAAATGATTTTTAAAACTAATTTGTTCCTAGTCTGGTTTTACAGCTTTCTAAATAATTTTGTCTGGAAGAGAGGTATATTCTACTCAACACTGTAAATACTGGTATCGAACAAGCATGAGTAGCTTAAGGCCCTCCTCAATGGAGCTCTTCTTTAAAGCCTGTGATCTTCGAGAATAACAAAGTACTGTCATCTGTGTTTACTGCTCATATCAGTATAGCTAGTATTTGATTAATAAGATTACTATCATGAGCAAGAGTTTGGAGTATTAGGCCCCAAAAGAGAATACAGTTCAACAACCAAAATTCTGCGATCTAGACATTTGGTAATGCAATATATCCACCCACGCTTTATATGCAAAAAGCAAAATAGTACTACTATCCGTTAACATTGAGTTCATAACATACAATTTAGTTTCAAAGGCATCTGTTTTAAAATAGTTTACCTGTAGCACATTTTAAGAACAGTACCTGGAGGTTCACAAATGATTTACTATTGATCATCATATTTTTGAAAGAAGGCCTAAATGAGTGCTTATGACAACTTACCTGGTCCTGGCACAATAGTTCAATCTTTTCTTCTGCTAACACAGCAATGTCCTCCTCTTTCTCTTGTTCTCCAGCTTTTTCATTATTGGAGGAGCTAGTTGTCTGAGATTCATTATCCAGGTTTATGATTTTCTCATAAACATGTTCCATCACTTTTCTGACCTGCAGCATGTCACTAGCTGACAATCGGTCTCTGTACAAGTTAATTAAAAGTTGTGAAACACCAGATTTAGCCTTTCAAACACTTATCTTCACAGTATCATGTGCAATAAGGTTTGCTATAGCAGTTGTTTGTAATATAAAATAAGATCTTTATAATAATGCCTTTATATAAATCAATGGTGAAGACTCATCTGGAATACTGTGTGCAGTACCAGGCACCTTATCTGAAAAGGATACTGCAGAACTAGAGGGTGCTCAGAGAAGAGCAACAAGAAAGATCAAGATCTTGCATGGCAAAACTCAGATGAAGAGAGACTGAAAAGACTTGGAATGTTTTCCTTAGAAAGGAGATGAAGCTAGGGAGATGATAATAAGTATAATAAATAATGACTTGTAAACAGAAAGGAGGTCAGGAACTTCTGTTTTCCCTATCTTATAACACAAGAGACATTCAAAAAAGTTAAAAAGGTAGGAAATTCAAACGGATAAAAGGAAATACTTTTTTGGGCAACATGTAATTAAACTGTGGAACTCATGCCACAGGAAGTTGTTGAGGCCAAGAACGTATCCAGATTCAAAGAGGGACTGGATGTTTATATGAATATCAAGAATACACACAGTTGTCATAATTAAAAGACAGCAAACATTTTAAAAATTCATGCTTCAGGGCTCAAGCCGATCTCTAATGATTAGAAACCAGGATGGGATCTAATGTAAGGGACAGGTTCTCCCAAGCCTGCCTACTTTGGTGTTTCTTACACCTTTCTCTGACTGAAGCATCTGTTTGAGATAGGATACAGGATTAGATAAGACATTAGGTTTGATCCAGCCAAAAATGTTATGGTACCAACTCAAACCTCATTATTAATACTAAGGTAAGACCTTCTAAATTACAATTAATTTAAGCCGCTGCCATTTACAACTACAGTATCTCCCAGATCTTTAAAATATTTTTATATCAACCAGTGTAGCAGGATGTTGTCCTGTAACACTAAATACCTTCTCTCCCAAGAATTGAGATAGCATGTCCAATGTTGTTCTCTGGATTAACCAAGAGTACCGTTATTCTCTTTGGCATACCCTTTTACGAGTCTGCTAATATCAGTATCTCTGAAATATTAAGAGTCAAAAATATATACGTACTTTTTTAAAGTTTTTGCCCCTGAAGACGAATGAGGTTGAAGGTAGAAAGGAATCTTATTGAATTTGGGCATATTTTTCTAAAAGGAAACAAAGTGTTACATTTAGTACCAATTGGCATCACACAAATTATATTCACTTCATTATTTCAAATTGGAAAGTGTGTTTACCTAATATGTATATTATATCAAATAAAAATGAGATTTTCTCTAGCACAATGATTGAGGACTAGTTTTCTTTGAATTGCTTAAGCTTCTGGAGAGCTCAGATCTATCTCATGCAAGTCCTTTGTTTGCCTAGCTTTTATAGAAGTTGGAGCTCATTTCAGCGGAAGCAGGTGAGTGTAAAAAGTGTACAGCACTTCGATATGATAAAAAGTCAAAACACTGAATATTTTGTTTAAAAAATGACTGCAAGTTTTAAAGAAGAAAGACTTTGAGTATCTGGAATACAGCATCAGAAATCAGGTTTCTTAGGAGGTGATTTGTTAAGGAATGGAATCAAATTCGAGACACATGTGAAGAACACTTCACCCCAACCAGGCAATGAGGGATATTTAGTATGGTTCTAACTCAAAAATGTACCTTATCTTCTCTTGGACTCCCCCAAATTCATCATATTTCAGTATGCCGGCAAGCAACACTACAGTAGACATTAAGTTGGTCATTTCCCCGTCAACCAGGAGACCCCAATGAAGCTGGCTTGTTTGAAAGGAAGCCAAAGTGGTGTTTAAAATAAAGGTCTTCACAGGCCTAATTTTAAAACCTGACCCAGACCCAAACTGACAATGCCGAATCATTTTCAAAACTGATGCAACCTGAACCCAACACTCCCCCCACAAACCTGTCAGCACCGTCACCACCACCTGGAGGCTGTGATTTGTCAGCATGCTTACTTCACTGCACAGTAGCGGCAGCCAGCAGGAGTGGTGCACACAGCTGATGCCATGCAAAGCCCCCAGGCAGAAAGCAGCTGGAGTCAGAACACAGACATGGGAAGTGGCAAGCCCCCACTAGGCCAATCCCCATGTGACAATGCTGACATGGGTTTGGGTTGGTTCTGAAAAATGACAAATTGACACTCCTGGGTTGGGTTTGAGTCAAAGTCAGGCTTTAAAATTAGGTTGAAGGAGACCTCTATCTCATACAACACCCTGGTTCCTATTGGTTTATGGAACATAAGCACAGTGCATGCTGGGAAGTAGGGATTTACAATGGGCAGGTTCCAGTGACCTGTAGGGAGGCTGAATTTCAATGGGTTTATGAGAAGAGTGTTTTGAGCTAGTAATGCCTTGAATATCCCTTTAGGTCTGATTACTGAAGATATTCAATATACGTTACTTGAGATGCTGGAGTCTAGTTAAATTCCTTTGCAGTTCACCTTTAAAAGAAGGGCAAAGTCTATACCTAATGACACTTACATCCACAGTGATGTCAATTACCCATTGTGGCACAGTTTCATTAAGCAGCATAGATTCAGTTTCACCACCTGAATCCCGACATAATAACCTAAAATATATAGAAATGAGTTTCATAAATAATACATTTAAGCACTGAGAAGAAAATTGCTGTACAGCACATAAATTACAGAACTTAAATGCAAAGATTAAAAAAAGTGTGCACAGTGATAGGCAAAACCAGAAATTATTAAAATAATAAATCTGTTAATCAGATGAAAGAATAATAATTCCATAACCACGAGTTAAGCAAGATTAGTGTTTTACGAATTCTGTTTAAATGAACTTTAAATTCAAAATAAATTGTTTAAAAAAACCCAAACAAACCAAGTGTATACATTCTAGCAATTGTGGGCTCCAATCCTTTAAGTTTGATATGTGAGGGTGTACCCTTGCCCTTGTGTAGAGTCTCACTGATTGAATGGAACTTTCTGTAGACATAAGCATCTGCCAATGCAGATCTAACCGAAGGGCTAGAATCCTCAGTTACAATTCAAAAATATTAAGAGCTGTGGGAATGGGGTTCATTTTAAATTGAAAATGTAGCCTCATTTTACTTGAATGACCCGTGATCTGAAAGTTACACTGCTCCCAGGCTTGGGATGTGCTATATTCAGTTCTGGAAAACTAAGAAACCTTGACTGAAAAACTAGTCTTAATTTAAGAATGGATATATTCAGTTACCAGGGATAAACGTGAATGCTTTATGACATTCAAAAACCTGGCATCCCAGGGATATTCATCATGATATATTCAGTGGTGAACTGGAGCCGGTTCACACAAACCGGTTGTTAAATTTTGAAGCCAGTTTAGAACCAGCTGTTAAAGGGGTGGGGAAGCTCAGGCGGGACGGACAGGATGTGGCCTGTGGGACTGTCCTGTCAGTCCCGCCTGAGCTCTCAGCTAGGGAGGCTCCCATGTGAATTTTTACTGACCCGGCGGCACTCTGACCCTTCGGCAGCAGGCCCTTCACTTGGGGCGGGTCTTCGGCGGCGGATCCTTCACTCACTCCGGGTCTTCGACGGCATTTCAGCGGCGGGTCCTTGAGTGCCGCCGAAGACCCAGAGCGAGTGAAGGAACCAGTTCTTGAGCTTCTGGCAGCTCATCACTGGATATATTAGCTGATAAAGTCATGCTGGAATCAAAGTAGTGTAAAAGGCAAGATGGGTGGTAATCAGAGTGGCATGATAAGATCTCATACTACTTGACTGGTCAGACCTGAAAGCACTCTGATAGGCCAGCAAATATACTTTTAGGAGAAGTTCCCCATACCAGTGGATCAGAAAAAAAAAGTCTAATGCCTGAAGACTAACACTGCAGCACCATAATAAAAGACAATAATTATACATTAAGCTCTGCTCGAACTTAAAGTGGTACATTAAATAGTCTTAGAAGGAAAATGGATCAGCTTTAGGTTGTTGTTGATTAGTCTATGGAAGGATGGTGTACAGGAAGTGCTCTCAGAGCTATAAATCAACAAGTCCTTGTAAGAGTTACTGTACAATTCATGCACCATGTCTTGATGATTTGGAATCTAGATGTTCCTAGTCTGACTATGGAATGACATTATCAGCCACAGACCAATTCTGTATGGTCAAGCTTCTATTTCCTGGACATTGATTAATATCTGAAATTGTTCAAGAGCCAAAAAGAAAATAATTCTATTGCTTTAGCCACACTGCATTCTCTGAATTTCTGTACCTGAACAAAGTGCGTCCTCCAGCTTCACCAAAGATAACTGGTGTATGCGGTGGTACCTGAAAGTATCCATTTCCTTTCTGTACTCTGTTCTCCTGCTCACCATTCACTATAGAAAAATATACATCAAGACTATATACCTAGTTTTAGAGCCAAGTATACAGACTAACACAAGTTATTGTCTCTTTCCAATACGGTGGTGAATTAAAAAAAGAAAATAAACAAAACAGATGCAAAGATGAAGACATGTTGATTTCTCATAAACCAGAATTTCCAACACTTAAATATTTCATGAGAAATACCAAAGAATTAACACATTATAACTTTGTAGGAGGCAGATCTCAATGTCTGATGTACATGAGAATAGGGGCCATGAGTGGAACACTGATTTACTATCAGTTTTCCCCAGTTTCTGAGCAATACAGAGATGTAAGTATCTGGGGAATTGAATGACCCTTACTTTAGAGGTGAACAAGAAAAAGAATAATTCTGCAAAGGCAATTATTTCACATTCAAAAGTAACATCTTAACAAGCATCTTCTTTGCTTTCCCACCTAACTACCAACTCTGAAACAGAGGACCAGGAGAACTTGACAGAGACATCTTGATTTCACTGCACTGTACATTCCATTAACTATTGATCAGGTTCATGTCTATGGACTATACAACTAGAAGTGACTGATGACATTTCAAATGCAGAGGGTCAGATTAAAAGAGCAGTGATTCACTTGTTACAGACTGACTACAGCTTTCAAAATGAAATGATTTGATAAATAGTAATTATTTTGCAGTGCAATGTAAAGTTCTCTGAAAAATATGGGAAAAACTGTTTGGTTGCAATGCCTTTCAGTCAGAAAAGAACCCAGACTTACTATGTGGCACCTGAAATCCACCAATTACCAAATTTTAATGTTCTGTCGAATGCTACAACATACCAGATAATTGAATATGGGTTCCTGTGGGTGATAGGAGTTCCAAAAAGATTGCTTAGCTCATTTATGAGCAGAGCATAAAATAAATGGAGGCTCAGAATTCATAGCCAAGAGTACAGTCTAGAGATAAGACTATTGTATATTCCCATGCCCGGAGCTCATCAGAAACAAAATAAAATCATTCTGGAAATTAGAAGGGAGAAATTTTGGGGTTTTAGAAATTTCTTTAAAATAAATATTTTGGTGTTACCCTCCTGAATTTTTGATTTTTTAAAAATCAAACTCTCCTTTTTGGAGGCAGTGGAAATTTCAGCTTAAAAAAAAAATCCCACTGGACGTAAGGTAGGGGAATAGTGCTATCTCAGCATGTATCAGGACCCTGTTCTCAAATGCTACAAAAACATAACATAGATGCCAACAGACATCCCTTTTTGTTAATAAGCAGATTTCAAATCTGTGTCGTCCAACTTATTTTCCATAATGGTGACTCCAGAGAAACTATGAACACTTTTCTCCTCGAGTTTTTTTCCCTAGACTACAAAATTAATGAAGTATTTTATTACTAAAATAGTTAGTATTCAGCTTGCCTAGTCACAATCTTTGTATGGTCCCTCAGCTCTCTATTAACAATATCACTGATCCAAGAGACCCCCAGTGCACTTTTGATTTCCCAAGCCACTATTAAGTATTTGCTTTGTATTGTTAAATTTTAATATTTTAAAAGCAAATTCAGAATCTGGTTTTACAATCCTTATTTACCTGACCAGTTCTACTAAAGTACAGTACTATTCACGAGTCTATAGGAGGAATCAGGTCTCTAATGACTTGGAAAGTTGGTAAATTGCCACTCCTTATTCTTCCCACCCCAAGACTAAGGGCTTGTCTACACTACCGCTTAAATCGATGGAAGTTATGTCGCTCAGGGGTGCGAAAAAAACACCTCCCTGAGCAATGTAACTTACGTTGACTTAACACAATGTCTACACTGCGCTATGCTGGCAGGAGAGCATGCTCCCATTGACGTAGCATGTCTTCACCAGATGCGCTAAATTGACGCAGCTGTATCAATCGCAGCGGCGCCAATTTAGCATGGTAGTGAAGACAAGCCCTTAAGCCTTCTAAATGCACAGCACAGGAAGTAACAATGCAAGAGCCTCCAAAATAGCCTAACAGAGTGCCTCAACCCCATTCTGAGACCAGACTGAGTGAAAACATAGTTAAACCCACATAATCCATAGGAACGTAGGACTGGAAAGGACCTCCTAGGTCACCGAGTCCAGTCACTTGCTATCGAAAGGTACTCCATCATATTAATCCCATTCATAATTTTATCAAATTGCATTTTAAACCTAGTTAGTTTGCCCCCAACTACTCCTATTGGAAGGCTGTTCCAGAATTTCATTCCTCCAATGGTTAGAAACTTTTTCCAATTTCCACACTAAATTTATTCCAACACATGACAAGGATTTCAGCTGAAGGCCAATCTGATAAAAAAGCCAAGAGATTACCAAAACTAATAGTTTTGTAAGGTAAACATCTGCAAGACATCTGAATTTAAACCACCTCATTTTATGAAGACCATTAAATACCCAATGGACACCAAAAACTTTTGAATTGCTTTGGCCCTGATTGGATGTGAACTTGTGTCCCAGTGAAAGGTTCTACCAATCATCTTCCAAACCTTTGAGCTATAGTTTCTCTTATTTTCTGCCAAATCCACCCACCTATCTTGTGTGTCATTTACAGAACCCTACTGTTAACCTCACCTTTCCTTTGTGGATTACTTCAGAAGATAGCCTCCTGGGTCAGTACACAATTCTGTTTTCAACACCCATTCAGTGTAACACATTCCAACAAATATAACTGCTATTTATTAGTGTATAGTTCCCAGTAATAATTACAAGCAAATTAGGCAATGTGCCCTGGACACTTACCCAGAAAAGCATAACTGAATTACTCCCATTCCTCTGCCCTATCTAGAATTTAAGGAATTTATTCTCTCCCTTAAAAACCTAGCCTCTTAATTTTACCAGAAATTTTTTTCATTGTGAACTAATAGCATTTCTGTAAATTCACCCTCAATGCAGAATTAGCTTTTCAATTGTTTCCTCTTTATTGTGGAGTTCCAAAGGCTTTTAAACAGCACTATCGTCAGTGGAGGAGTGCTACGTGAAACATTACAAAGCAATGTTATATTAAAAGCTATTGTACATGTAGAGACAACTCTAAAAACCTCACATAAAACAAACTAGCTATGAATGAGACAAAAAGATTTAAAGATTCTTATATTGTACAGGTGAACACTAACCATGATTTATTTCATTTTCCTCTTCATCCATTGGATTGATGTGTGTTCTAGGCCAATACTCTAGAAGAGCTTGTAATAGAAGCCCTCCGAGATTCACTATAAGACATGATTAAAAACATAGAATATAATTATGTAAAAATCACTGACCCATATAGCCAGTTTAGAAAAAGACGACAACTCTCCATGTTTTTAATTCACAACTGGTTAATATAAGCTAATTGTTTGTATTTCTTATCAAAGCTTAAGAAGTTAATACAAGAGAAACTGAACATTTAAAAAAATGTTAGGTCCCAATCCTGCAATGAACTCCTTGCTGGCACTGAGGTCTACTGATGTGGAGTTCATCTCAGGGTCAGGGGCTTAGGCCCAGATCCACAAATGGACTTAGGTGTCTAACTCCCACTGTAGGCACCACTGAGATCCTCAAAACTCTGGCTACTAACCCTGAAGGTGCCTAAAATCCTTTGGCACCTAAATTTCCGATAAAGTCCTTATGACACCTAAGTTTCTGCTTCTAGGTACGTGCACTGCTGCCTCGCTCTAAGAGCTTGAATACCTATCTCATGCCTAAGCCCCAGAAGGATCTTTGAACCATGTGAAACTAGGCATTCCTTTGCCTATCTCGCTGGCTGGGCCCAAGCTGGTGGGCATGCTCTGAGCACATCTAATTCCAAACAAAACTGTGAGAGGGAAAGGAGGAAGAGGCAGTTGTAGCAACTTCCCTAACCTTTAGTCCAGTGGTTAGGACAGTGTTTCCCAAATAGTTGGTCCCAATCCACCTGTGTGTTGTGGGAAAGTTTTAGATGGTTGTCATGTCCAAGACCAGATGAACTCATCACGTGACCCTGAACTAGGCAAACATATATTTCACCTGGCCTGGATGGAAAGCCTCAGGTGGGTGTGGAGGGGAGAAGAGGAAGGGTTTGGTGAGCAAGCCTGTCTCGCACTCATCCCATAGTGGGGCTAGTCCCAGTTCCCCACTCTGGTCGTTGTAACCTGGCACACGAGGCTGCAGCACCACTCAGATTTGGTCTGGCTAGCCCTCCCTCATGAAAGAGAGGCAGCCGGGCCAAACTTGAGTGGTGCTGAGACCTTGCGCATGAGGTAGCACAGAGCAGGAGGGCTTGCCCTCCAACCCCACCCATCTAGACCTCCCCTCTACACTGGGCCAGGATTAGGGTTGTGGTAACAGGACAGAGGGTTCATATACGTAAACGATGGGTTACAAAATAAAGACAATGCTGTTGGTGGGTTGCCTTTGTAAAACATTTGGGAACCAGCAGGCTAAGGCACTCACATGAGACAGGATTTGAGCAGGGTTCTCACATTACTTCTTGTCAAGGCACAGGGGGGAATTGAACCGAGGTCCCCCATTTCCTGGGTGATTTCACTAACCACTGGGCTAAAGGTTACAAGGGAGGCTGCCACATCCTGCAACCTCTCCATTCACCCCCTCGGGCTTTTGCTTGGACTTAGGTGTGTGCTGCCTTTCTTCTTGCAAGAAACAGCATAGGTGCCTGACTCCAAGAAAGGATTCCTAGCTATAGATCCTAAGTGGAAATAGGCACCTAATTCCCTGTGAGAGACAGGGTTTAGGACACACCCTTCTCCATCGCATCTGCTACTGGCTAGCTTAGGCAGTTCCTCACCTAGCACTATGGCTTTAGTGGATCCCATCCGTAGGTACCTAACTCTTCCCATGCACGAAGCAGGGAGCCCAGTGCCTAACTCTGGTTTATGGATTCCACTGGGTTGCAAAAGCACCTAGAAGTTAGGTGCTCCCATGCTCTGTGTTGCAATGCCTAAGTTGTTTTGTGGATTTGGACTTTGTCTTTAGTCTTGTAGAAAAAGCTAATTTTGCTATAATTCCAGTCAGTTTTAATTGTTTTTAACAAATATTTTAAGATATGAGTTTATTACAGTATTATTCTCTAGTTCAGATCTTTCATATAATAATTCCAGTCTAGCATTTTTCATTTTGCTTTTTGAAGGAAAATGAAATGGACAAATGAAATAGACAAAAAGTGAATACAAGATTGCCATTATAAAGCATCTCAGTACATTTTCATTGGAGAGTCATTTGGAGGATTTAGTCTCAAGAAAAGTGGGGAAGTCCAAGCAAGCACAAAACTACTATCTGCCAGAAATATACTAATATATGTAATGGGGTTTTATATTGTTTGAATGAAATGTTAATTTAAATTAAAACTCACATTTTGGATCAGATCCATCTGGACTGCTAAATCCAGCATCTTTTGCTGAGACCCAAGCTGCAAAGCAGTCACTCTCATCTAAAGTAATTGTCAACATCTGTCAAAAGAAGACCATATGAATATTGTATTAAGAACCCAGCAGGTTTCTTTTACATATACAGAAGACACACTAAGCTGCAACTACAAAATATGGTAGTATTTGATTAGACAGCGACTGTCTACAAACACTCCATTTCTCAAATTTTATTACATTAGTAATTGCAGTGTACAAGATTAGTTTAAACCAACATTATCTCCTTACAAAGAATTCTGTAATTAACTACTCTTCAAGTTATCAAGATCCAAAGAAGCATTCACAGACATGTTGATTGAAAGATAAATTATATCAGATAATCAAAATATAGTTTATGCCACACACACATTAAATTAAATCTTAGAGTCAAAGCTTTATATGGCTCACAGAAGTTTAACTTAATAAAGTGTATATATTAATGCTTTCATGAATGGTCATATGAAATGACAAACGCCCAAATTAGGAAATAATTTAAGTTGTGTCTTACCCCAGTTTTTAAGTCTACTGAGAACCAGTTTGGCACATACACCATTTTAAATCTCTTCTTAATTTCTTCTTCAAAATCTACTTTCCCAAGGTCTTCAACTTTACATGCCTGTACACCAGAATATTAAAAAAAAATACGGAAGTTTCTTAATACTGAATATGCAGTCATATCCACTGTTAAAACCTTTAATTTGCATATCAGAAAAATTAATTTTTAACAAATGTATTCCCTCATGTGTATACCCTCTATGTAATGAAATACTCAACTTGAAGATTCACATTCTCAAATGGCTGTACAGTAAATTGTATGCTAAGTAAGCTTTTTATTTTTCTTGGTAGCTTGATGCCACTACCCTCCAAAACACTAAGACAGAGAAGTATGGAAGCACTACTTCAGAGCAACATAAACTTCTTCCCCAGTGTTGAATCTTGCCTTGCCTTGAACTGTAGTTCATTTTAAAAAAATAAACAGATGGATTCAAAGAAAAAAGGAACAGAATGAATATTAATACTTATTAATATAGCAATAAAGCCCATGACCTGTCTGTGACTTTTACTAAAAATATCCATGACAAAATGGGGAGCTCACCTGTGGGATCCACACACCACCCAGAGTGGCTAGGTAGCTGCAGGGGCCCGCTTGGAGCTCCATGGGCCCCCAACACCTGTGGGGGCTTGGAGCTCAGGGTCCCCCACTGTCTGGGAGGGCTCCCGCGGCAGCCGGCAGTCTTGGGGGGCCCCCACAGCTCCTGGCCACTGCAGGCTGAAGTCACAGAGGTCACTGGAAGTCACAGATTCTGTGACTTCCGCAACCTCTGTGATAAAATCGTAGCCTTAATGATAATGTTTTGACTGATGTCCATCCATCTGTCCCCCTCCCCGTCATGCATTCTTATTATGTTCATTGTTTTATTTTAAAGACAGAATTTTAAACACATTTATGTAAGAATGAACAGTAATGCAGCAGAAGAGACAAATATCGTCCCTTATCAATGAGAGTCTTTAAAAATACTTGCACTATGTTTTGTGGCACAATGAGGACCTATTTTCTCCAATCATCACCTCACATGCAGACAAATAGCAAAGGAAACAGAAGACCAGAAATCCATTAATACATGTCTAATCCAAAATTTTACACTTACCTTCAATACATCCCAGTATGCCACATTATTATTTGTATCTTTGGTTAATATATGTCTCTTGTCATTAAGAATGTGGCACTGAATAATACTAGCACCCCCTAGCAGTTATAAAGAAGAAATAAAGTCAGCAATGCCATTCATTTAATTAAAACAACAACAACAACATTAGACTGCTACAAAAGTAGGAGCTATTCCTCAGCTCCAACAATTTGGCATGAAGCTATTTCAGCACATAATGAATATATGGCATATATGTATATCTACATGTGTTTCAACAATGATGTTGATATATTGTACAGTCAACTGCTTAACCACACTTTGGGTTGTTATGAAATATACTCAAAAGATAAAATAACCAATGTAGGTCAAGTTTATTGCTATACAGCAGGGGTTCTCAACTTTCATTGCAGTGAAACTCCCTTCTGACAACAAAAACTACTACATGACCCCAGGAGGGGAGACCGAAGCCTGAGCCCCACCACTCCAGGTGGAGGGGGGCCAAAGCCCAAGCCCCGCTGCCCTGGAAGAGAGGGGGGCAAAGCTGAAGTGGGGAGCCTGTAACCTGAGCCCTGCTGCCCAGGGCTGAAGCCCTTGGGCTTTGGTCCTGGCAGGTGGGGTTTGGGCTTAGGCTTTGGCTCCAGCATGTCTAACACCAGCCCTGGTGACCCTACTAAAAAATGGGGTCGTGACTCACTTTGGGGTTCCAACCCATAGTTTGAGAACCACTGCTATACAGCAGTGATAATATAATACAGGAAAAAGGTTCTAAACAGAGACTATAATATAGGCTTGATCCAAAGCCCCTTGAAATCAATGGAAAGGTCCACATTGACTTCAGTGGGCATTAGATCAGGTCTTATGTCATTTATAGGTTTTAACTGTGACAATGATTTTGAAATTATACTTAACAGGGAGCAGTATTTGATATTTATCTGAAATAACTAATCACAATTTCCAACTCTTAATTACTCACAGATCTTACATTATGGTCATTGTTAACAAAGTACCAATAGAATAACCCTAAAATCAAAGGCTGAGAAGGGTTAGTGAATTTTTTTTTTTTAATTATACTGTTCACCACACAAGCTAAAAATATGCTTGACACACACAGTTGTAGGATACTATTATACAAAACATGCTATTTTCTGCAGTTCAGGTTATAGCAGAGAGAATTCCAAGGCATTCATGCCCTTAATTTATTATAACTTCATTAAAATGTCTACTCTGAATATAAAAATACTTAATACCTTTTAGATGCTAACATTTTTTTTTTAGCTAAATTGTCATGGTTATGATCAACATGTATATTTATCCATCTTCACATGTGGTTTGGTCATATCGTTTATCTAAAGTACTCAAATGCAAATAGGGCACTCAATCTTTAATATATTTATCCTCAATATCTCTGTGAGGTAATGTAAGGAAGTAGTATTATGCCCATTTTATAGAGACTAAGGGTATATCTACACTTCAAAAAAAGGTGTGTTCTTAATTGAGGCTAGCTAACTCAGGTTAAAATAGTGGTGAAGACACAGCAGCTCTGCTTTTAACTTAGGTCAGCAGCTCAAGTTCAACCCCAGGTTTCTAGAGCTGCTAACCCAAGTTAAAAGCCAGGTTGCCAGGTCTTCATTGCTTTTTAAACTGCATTAGAGAACTTGAGTTAGCTAACCCCCAAACCACACCTTTTTTCTGCAGTGGAGACATATCTTAAGTGCCCAAGGTCTCACAGGAAGTCTGTGATGGAGCAGGGAATTGTACCCAAGTCTCCAGCATTCCTGGCTAGCATCCAACCCACGGGACTGGTCCCTTATTTTCTCAAAGGCCTTGACCATCAGCTCTGATAACGAAAGTTAGAATGAGCAAGTGAGGAGAACGGGTAGTAGCTAGAAGAGCCATCTCCCAAACACCTCCCATTCCAACACATTCCCCCACAGTAAGTTTATATGAGAATAGTTTAAGTGCTTTTAGTGGAATTTTCTGTTGTTCTTCCATTTAAATGTTCATATACCGTACTAAATTTTTATACTGCAAATGTTTTACATTGCATTTTCAGATAAATATGGGCCTGATCCAGTGCCACCTGAACATAGTGGAAAGGCTCAAACAGAATTCTATGAGCTTTGGAACAGGCCCCGTATTTGTCACGCTACCCTCTTCACCTGCCATTTTTTCTAACAATATTAATTATTTTTTGAGATGTTCTGAAAGACCTGTTTACCTTTGATAACTTGGTCAGGCTGTGTACAAAGAGGTGTTATAGGATTGGTACAGTCATTGTCATAGTCCCCAGAAGCTCTAAAATTATGAATTCCCTTCAAAGTCTAAAAGAAGAGACAGAAGCATGACAGTCATAATTTGCAGAGATCAGTGAAACCTATGAACATAGCTAGCCCAGGTGAGTGAGGTAATATCTTTTATTGGACCAACTTCTGTCAGTGAAAGAGACAAGCTTTCATGCTAACTCAAAAGCCCGTCTCTCACCTCATACAAGTCCACTCAATCCTACTTCTTGTCCAGCCAATCACTAAGACAAACAAGCTTGTTTACATTTACAGGAGATAATACTGCCCGCTTCTTATTTATAATGTCACCTAAAAACTGAGAACAGGCGTTCGCATGGCACTGTTGTAGCTGGTGTTGCAAGGTATTTATGCGCCAGATATGCTAAACATTTCGATACCCCTTCATGCTTCAACTTGTAGGCTCTAAACTTTTACATTGTTTTGTTTTTGAATGCAGTTATGTAAAAATAAATTCTACATTTGTAAGGTGCACTTTCATGATAGAGATTGCACTACAATACTTGTATGAGGTGAATTGAAAAATACTATTTCTTTTATTTTTACAGTGCAAATCTTTGTAATCAAAAATAATATAAAGTGAGCACCGTACACTTTGTATTCTGTGCTGTAACTGAAATCAATATTTGAAAAATGTAGAAAAAAAATCCAAAATATTTATAATAAATTTAAATTGGTATTCTATTATTATTTAACAGTGAGATTAAAACTCTGGTTAATTGCGACTTTTTTTTTCCATCATGAGATTAATTGTGATTTTTTTTTAATTGTTTGACAGCCATATAGTAAACTCATACTGAACTTAAATTTTAGCCATATAATGGACAAAGAAAATCACTCACCCACTTATTCACAGAAGATTTAGTTGTTGCAACCCAAAGGGCTGGAGGAGGATCAGCTGATCTATCAAGTTCCATCTGAATAATTAAACCACAGAACACTTTTAGATACCCCAAGTTTAACTTTTTTCTTTTCAATAAGTTTTTTGCTTTCCAGTGACCTCCAGTCATTGCCAGATGTGCTCCAGAAACAGCACTACCTTCAAGCTTACTGAAGAAATACAAGTTTCAATACATTAAATAGCTAATTGTAATTTTTAATTTTATCGGTGATTTTAAGTTTCATTACAAACAATAAAAATTATTTTAAATCTCTAGAAACATTTTAGAAATTGTGACTAGAAATATTGAATATGTTTAAGTTGTTTTTAGCTAATCAGCTGTGGTTTAAAATGTTTCAAAACTACAGTATTTTTATACATTATCTAAAGATTTTAATATTTGACAGGATGATCATTTTTAAAAAGATACAATTAAGAAAGTTCAGTACTACTAAATATGTAGAATTTCAGAAAATTAGATTCACTTGCTGGTTTACTATAGCAGTAGTGATCCATCCTAGTTAAGGATCATAGAACATTTCTATTCTAGCCCTGTGTGTGATCACAATTTTTTAAATTTCATTTTCAGTTGAAATTTTCCAGGTTTTGACCCCTTCAAAACTACACTTTAGATATGCACAGTACATTTTGAATTTGGTTCTTTTGCTAAGCCAGTAAAACGTGCAACTAAGGAAGACCAGCCCGCTCATGCATTTTAGCTGTGCACTAGAATATATACCTCTTGGGGTCCTAGCTGTTCCAATGGTACATAGCCAAATAGTTACCAGCTATGACACTCCCTCCCTCATCTTTTTTCCTTCTTTTAAAAAAGAAGACCTTAGATTTTTTTATGCAATTTCCTAAATTAAGAGAATGTTAGTGTTGCAAAATTAGATGTTCCAAAGCCCTACACAACCTTAACTCTTCTCTCCCGTGTGAGTATGCATCACAGTACAGTCTAGTTACATAACCACATACTATTTCTCAAATACAATATACTAAAATTTTTTCTTCAGACTTAGAAACACTGCTGTAAATTTTTGTAATCCCCCACTCCTTGAATACCTACATTACCAAGTTTCAGAGTAGCAGCCGTGTTAGTCTGTATTCGCAAAAAGAAAAGGAGTACTTGTGGCACCTTAGAGACTAACCCATTTATTTGAGCATAAGCTTTCGTGAGCTACAGCTCACTTCATCGGATGCATAAAGTGGAAAAAAAATTACATTACCAAGTACATGGATACATTCAGAGTGCATAGCTTTTTTGTGCAGAAAGCATTTAGGGAAGAACACAGGTAAGTTAAGATTACCTACTCCTGAGGGCATTCTGCACCAAAACACTAAAAATTCTGCACCAAAAAATTAAAAATTCTATGTACAATATTCTAAAAATTCTGCAAATTTTATTTGTCAAATAAACGTGGAGGCTTCAGCATTGCACTGGGGAGCACAGGCCACTGGCCGTACGTAAGTGGGAGATCATTCTGCAGTTCCCCCCTGGGACACGGACTCAGCGGTGAGGCTGCACCCTACCCTGACCCAGCACAAGAACTGGGCCTGACCCAGAAACATCCCAGGGCCTTGTCTTGTACAGAATGGACTGAGTGAAGCTTGTTCACTTTTCTGGCCAAGGTGACAGTCTTGCAAGTACGATAATGGATGAAGCATTTTGAAAGGGGCTTTAAGAGCACTCTAAGTTTTAAAAGGATGACACTGAGGTTTCACACTGGAGTAAGTTCTCTGACTAGAGGGTATGTACGTATCTGGCTGTTGAGAAATCTGGAGACCACTGAACGAGAGATCAAGAACAGCAGCATCAGTGTATGATACACCCATACTGTTGCCAGTCAGACCTTGACTGCGTGAAATTAAAGTCCAGATTGTTATAACTACAGCAAATGTTCAAAACAATCTTTGGCACTGGGGCTTGCACTAGATCTAGGCCTTGTTGGACCACTCATATTGAAAAAGCTGTTTCCATTTAAAGTAAGTCTTTCTCACGGATAGCTTTCTGCTCCATGCCAGGATTTCCTGAACATGTTAGAAGCACTCCCTTTCCAGGGTGCTCAAACAACATTCAGGCCATCAGATGCAGTAACTCTGGGTTTGGATGGAACTCTTAACCCTGATCCTGTGATTGCAAGTCTGGGTGGTCTATCAGCCACAACTGTCTCGGCCAGAAGGGAGCTATGAGACTGAGTGTGACTTTGTTTCCTCTGGTTTCGGCAGTTACTTTGTTGATTAGCTGAATCAGTGGGATAGCATCTTGATTCCATTGCAGAAGGAAGGTATTCAGCAAACAAGCAAGCAAACAAAAAAACCCCACATCCCTTGTATCTGTGGATGGGTCCAGGAGGACTCCCCCATCTCAGATGTGCCTACGACTAATGCCCTGGAAGGTTACAAGGTCATGAACTGTATCTCTTTTTGCATATTATCAGGATGCAGTTAATAGTTCAGTAGCTAAAAGACATAAGTGGAATTAGGACTTTCTTGCTAATTGGATACTTTGCAGGGGTGTAGGCTCATCTGAGCCAGAGATGTAGCAGTCTCCTCTCAAGTCTGGTAAGTGGCTTCACATATGTACAGGCAGACATATGGCCTAATAATGCGAGAGAAGTCCGTACTGTCATAGCTGGCTGCGATTTCACATTGTTCAGTAATGACTAAAGGGAGAGGAATCTGTCTTCTGGCAAGTAAGCCCTTGCTGTTGTGGACTCTATCCTGACTCACAATTTACTCTATTGTTTGATAGGATAAAATAAATGATATTTTCTTGCAGCTCACCCAAAGACCCAGATAGGTGAACAGAGAGAGGGTGTAGCTGAGTCATGTCAGAATTCCTTGATGCGATACTGCCTTTGATCAGCCAGGCATCTATATACAGATACACATAGATGCACCTATGGTGATGCATCTGACAGAGACTCTGGGTGCTGTGGAGAGTCCAAGGGTCAGTATCTTGTACAGGCAATGATTTGACCCCAGAATAAATCTCAAGTACTTCTTATGAGCCAGGTGAATGGCAGGATGAAAGTACGCATCCTTAATAACATGAGTTACAAACCAGTCCTAAATCTAAAGTGGTGGAATGATGAAGCAAGTGTTACCATCCCAAATATGAGGCAGTGTAGGCATTTTCAGAACAACAAAATATTGCAAGAAGAAGCCTCTTCACCTGTACTCCTGCAGGACCTCTTTTACATCTCCTATGTGAAACAATGAGGCCAATTCTTTTGGTAAAAGATTCTCATTAGAAGGATCCATAAAGAGGGACAAGGGTGATTAAGACGCAAGGAAAGAAAATGGCTGGGATAGTGATAGGCTACGTCCAGCATTTGTCTAATCTCCGACTACACCTGATGGAAGTGGGAGAGGGTGACTTCCAAAGTCTGGCTGTAGAATGGTGTTTATGTGGTTCTTGACACACCTCCAGTCAAATCTGCTGCCTCTGGACGGGAGCCTGGTGCATGACAGAGCAGAGTGACAGGTGCCTTCTGGTGTAATGGGGCCACTTTCTAGGCAGGTACTCCAGTTTGTGATTGTGGGAACAAGACTGTGTTCTTTGTCGGAGTGGGGGCTGGTATAAGAAGGGCTTCTGGTATGGTGCTGGGGTATAGATTCTGCAGATCTAAGGACACCCCCAAATCCTTGAGGGAATGGAGCACCTTGTATGTCTGCTTGCTGAAGAGCTTCATGCCCTTGAAGGGTACATCCTCTACTGTCAGCAGGACTTTTCAGAATCCCAGACACCTGCAACTAGGAAACGTGACACATTGCAACTTATGTAACCATGGATCAAGAAGCCACCGACTCATCCATTGCCAATAGTAGCGTGGTTTTCATTACCATGTGACCCTCCTTGATGGAGTACCTTGCATCCTCCCCAAGTCCTGAGGAAGCCTAGAGAGAAAGGAGATCACCCTTTCCCTCATTAGAGAACTGCATTTCACGAACAGGGCTTGGTAGTTCACACTGTTGAATAGGAGGGAGGTTGATAACTACGCTTTTTGGCCAAAGAATTCATTTCTTGGAGCCCTTATCTTTTAGAATCCCCTTGGTGGACCTGTTTTTTCCCCCTGGACCTGCAGAAAACACAAGGGAACCCCAGGTTGGTTGCACATAAAAATGTCTGAAGCCCTCGAACAGGACTTGATAGAGCTTTTCTACTCACTTTGAAGTAGGAGAAAGGGAGACTGCAGCATGCAACAGTCCCTTTGCTGAGTCAAATATATTCTCATTGATTGGAAGGACAATTCTTCTTGTCAGCACCAAGGAAATGAGGTAATTGAACAGTCTGTGCTTGTTCTTTTAAATCACCATTGTCTCAACATCCAAAGTTTCAGCTATCCTCCAAAACAGATCGTGAGCAGCCCTAAAGTTATTGATGAGTCAGGGCTGAGGTGACAGCCTCATTTAGCTAACAGAAGGATTCCTTAGATAGGGAAGGCAATTAGGAAGTGTCCTGAGCCACATCTGTTCCATCACAGGGAGGTTCTTCTGGTTCTGGTGTGGAATGCCTGGCTACTAATGTGCATGGTGACTGAGACCTCCTCTTTTCTGGTACATTGATGGAGCTCTGCTCTGGGACCTGTGGGAAGGTGGGCCCCAATAGTGCCAATAAGGCTCCAATGGTAAATTGTACCCTTACTGGCCAAACTGTCTCCTGAACCTTCTCTGTGGCTGATGGCTTGCTTCCAATCCTTCATGTTGAAAAGGATTTGGAAGACTTGCCTTTGGAGGAACGCTCTGAGTCTTCCTTATGGGATGAAGCCACTGTGCACTGAGCTGTGCTTGTGCTCAGTGTGGGTACATGACTTCGTGTCTGAAGTGGCTGGCATAGGTGCCCTGGGGTTGATGCCAATGCACTTAAGGCGCTGAGGCAGTCTGTGCTGATAGTGCCGGAAGGGTCAGCACTAGCACCAACGGTCTTGGCACCCTTTTAGGGCTTCTTCTCCCTGCTGGCATCAGAGGTATGGTGCCAGGGCACTTGCCATAGCTAGCTTCCTCAACTCCAGCTTGGAGGATGTCTCTTCTCCAGGATTGGACATGACCTTTATGGATTGCTTTGAGTCCCATCTCTCTCAATATTCAAGTGTGGAATGACAAGGAGTTGCAGAGGGAGCACTTGTCGGGGGCGGGGGGGGGTATCCTTCTCTGAGTCAGAAGAAACATCTATTGTGCCCATTAAAGACATAAGATCATCATATGATGGGCAAGATTGATACTCTGTGGCTTTACAGTCTGCCATGCTGGTGTTGGTGTGAAGTACTTCACCCTGCTGTGAAGCAGGGTTGAGAGGGTCTCCCTATCCCTTTTTCTTTGGAACATCCAATAAGAAATAAGATGATAATGAGGGTGAAGAAGAATTTCTTCACAAGAGGGTTGAGACTGAAGCTTGAAAAACTATAGTGGGTTGGACACTGTCCAAGTTCTGTCTTGCTGCCACAGGCAGTAAGAGGGAACTGAGAAGGATTGCCACTGATCTGCCCTGTATGCCCTTGGATGGAAGCACCAGGAGGAACAAGGTGCATGCACAGCACCCAAGGATACTACTATTCAAACGATTCCGAGCTCATGTCCATGACACACACACCCCCCTATAGTGGGATCCACAGACACACATTCAAAGAAGAATTTAATGGGGTGAACATTGGTTGTCTTACACATATTCTTACATACAGTTATATTTGCAGCTGTTCTGTTACATAACATGCCACAGATTAAGCATAACTATGTTTTACTGTGTACACTTTTCATATGAGTGAGTTATGGATGGTCTAGAATATTGAGCAGCATACAAAGCTACCAGTTGTTACCCACATCTGATATTGTAGAAAAAAGCATCCAATTTGCGTGTTTGAGAAATAGCACGTAACCAACCCTGTAACTAAAGGCTGTTGAAATACATACACACCCGGGGGAGAGCCAAGCTTGTTTCCAAACACATGAGTTCTGAACCATTTAATCTAATTCTCTTTCCATAATTCTTAATGGAAATAATTCCCAGAGCAACTTGCTCTCTAATGCAAGGATCTAAAAAGTCCTTTTCAAAGAATGAAAACCTGCAAATCATCATTAGATTCAAAATTTTACCAGGGATCAAAACTCTCTCTTTGGGACCAGTAATTAGAACATTTTACTGGTCCTAAGAACAACTGCAATGGTCCAAAGGAATTCCAGCTTTGTTATGTTATCAGATGGTGTACCTTAAACATCAAGTCATTCCATTTACCATCTTGCATTTTAGGAGCTACCAAAAGCTCTTATGGAAGATCAAACTTGTAGCAATCTTTTAAGTAAATCAATTACCTTAAGAACTGGTGCCTTTTCTTCACAGATGAGCACACGGATATCAGGATTTCGTAAATCTGTGCAATAAATCTTCCTGTCTCTTCCTCCTGAATAAACATGAGTGAAGGCTTCATTGACCTGCAGAGCCCAAACACCTTCATCGTGGACTCGATATGTGGCTATACATCTCTGCTGGCCAAGGGACCATAGACGAATAGTTCCATCAGAGCTGCCTGAAAGACACTGAGCAACAAACATTGTATTTAAACTACACCACTAAGTACCTGGAAAAAAGTGACTGTTAAAAAAAAAACCCAAAAAACAAAAGCAGTTCTTATATGGAGGCTCTAGAAATCTTACATTCAAATTTTTCCATTAAGACGGTGTTAAACTGAGAATTGCAAAGTCAAAATTCTGGTCACATTTTTCTTTACCCGATGCGTATATTGTACATTACATCAACAAGAGAGACAGAGACAAAAATAGTATGGTTTTATTCCCTCCCACAAGTCTCCCTTCCCCAAACAGAAACTAACCAATATTAGTTTACAAGTAAAATAAAGGATAAAATATTCAGATGTGAAATCACAAGCTCATTTAACAATATATTTATGGCAATTCTCTTAGCTACTCGTCACAACTGTGCTTCAAAAGTAAAGCGAAAAGTTACAGATTATTAATTTAGTTTAATATATTTAGATTAGAGCACTCACTTTTAGACCAAGTTTTATTTAAAAGACTTTCAATATTCTACAGAGAAAAAGTGGAAAAAACTGTTCTGTACTGAAAAAGTATAACATTTTTTATAAAGCTCTAAAGAAAAACCTAAGTGAAAGATATTTGTGCTTCAAATGAAAACCCATACCTGTGTGCCATCTCTGTTCAACAACAAAGCTTTTACGTTATCCGTGTGCCCTTTAAGTTTCATCAGCTTTGCACAAGTCCTTGGATCCCATACCCTTAAAACCTGTCAAAGCAGATAAGATAATTACATATGTCATTTTCACACATGCATTGCCTACATATGAAGATACCTTTGAAGTAACTCCCATTTCTTCACATAACTGATTCTTCCAAAAGTGTAAAAAAAAATAATTGATACTTTTGCAAGATTCCTATATTTTATTAAACTCACAAACACCTAACATGTTATCTGCTATCAGGAGTATTTGCAGCAGGATTTTGTTATGTTTTTACAAGACCAATTTACTTCAAATGATGATACAAGTTAAACAAGAAGATATTGATTGCAGAGTCAATTCAGAATTAGATTAGAACTCAGTGTCTAAAAAAAATTAGCAATAATTTTACTAAGGTTGAAAGAGTTCTAACAGGTCCTGCTTACCTTTTCAGTGGACCCCGATACAATTACTGTTCCCATTTGATTCATCGCAAGGCTGTAAATGGAATCTTTGTTCCCACTCAGGGAAGAAGCTAGTGCAAAGTAAGATAACAGTATTAATGCTTTGCTTTCTCCATTTGTCAAAAAACAAACACTATGCACTTGAAAATGCTGCACTTAAGAGCCAGCTGCACGTTTTGATTCAGTATGATGGTCCAATGTGAAAAAACAGCAGTGCTTTCACCTAAGTATCTAGAATTACTTTTAATAGAAAAAGAATCTGGATAACATATTGCTAGAAAAAGCCTTCTCAATTCCTCATTTGCAATTCTGTAAAAGAATCACTATAATCATGGTACCACTGCAAAACCATTGATTGGCATTAGGATAGTTAGAGTGCTATCTGCAGCTTCTTCTCGGGCCATCTATGTTAACTCCACTGTAAGAGAGGGATTTATAAGAGACTCTGAAATACACTGGGTTTGTGTTGCAAACACAGACTATAACATTTTGCATATGGAAATTCAGTCCCACCACTTCTAAAATTGTATTTTATAGATTAAGGAACCTTTTTCTTAGTCCTGTGGAGCAGACGTAGAACTTTTAGCTTAGGGATGTGTGCACCTGGGAAGTCGTAGTGTGGGGTAGGGATGTGTGTGTCAGAACTTGATAAAAAGAAAAGGAGGACTTGTGGCACCTTAGAGACTACCAAATTTATTTGAGTATAAGCTTTCATGAGCTACAGCTCACTTCATCAGATGCATTCAGTGGAAAATACAGTGGGGAGATTTATATACAGAGAGAACATGAAACAATGGGTGTTACCATACACACTGTAACGAGAGCTATCAGGTAAGGTGAAAAGAAAAGGAGTACTTGTGGCACCTTAGAGACTAACCAATTTATTTGAGCATAAGCTTTCGTGAGCTACAGCTCACTTCATCAGATGCATTCAGTGGAACAACTCTGACATCATAATCAAAAAGGCTGACAAAGGAGGTGCTGTCATCATCATGAATACATCGGAATATGAACAAGAGACTGCCAGGCAGCTCTCCAACACCACCCTCCACAAGCCATCACCCTCCGATCCCACTGAGGGCCACCAAAAGAAACCACACCATCTGCCCAAGAAACTCCCCGAAAAACCACAAGAACAAATCCGCACAGACACACGCCTGGAACCCCGACCCGGGGCACTCCATCCACCACCCAAGATCCACAAACCATACTGTTCCTGAAGGCTTGTAGTCCATCTTTGTGTGGAATGTTGGTGTAGAGGGCTTCTACATCCATAGTGGCCAGGATGGCGTTTTCAGGAAGATCACAGATGGATTGTAGTTTCCTCAGGAAGTCAGTGGTGTCTCAAAGATAGCTGGGAGTGCTTATAGCATAGGGCCTGAAGAGGGAGTCTACATGGCCAGACAATCCTGCTGTCAGGGTGCCAATGCCTGAGATGATGGGGCGTCTGGGATTTCCAGGTCTGTGGATCTTGGGTGGCGGATGGAGTGTCCCGGGTCGGGGTTCCAGGCGTGTGTCTGTGCGGATTTGTTCTTGTGGTTTTTTGGGGAGTTTCTTGGGCAGATGGTGTGGCTTCTTTTGGTGGCCCTCAGTGGGATCGGAGGGTGATGGCTTGTGGAGGGTGGTGTTGGAGAGCTGCCTGGCAGCCTCTTGTTCATATTACGACCTATTCATGATGAAGACAGCACCTCCTTTGTCAGCCTTTTTGATTATGATGTCAGAGTTGTTCCACTGAATGCATCCGATGAAGTGAGCTGTAGCTCACGAAAGCTTATGCTCAAATAAATTGGTTAGTCTCTAAGGTGCCACAAGTACTCCTTTTCTTTTTGCGAATACAGACTAACACGGCTGCTACTCTGAAACCAGGTAAGGTGAGCTATTATCAGTGGGGGGGGGGGGGAGGAACCTTTTGTAGTGATAATCAAGGTGGACCATTTCCAGCAGTTGACAAGAACATCTGAGGAACAGCAGGGGGCGGGGGAATAGTTTTACTTTGTGTAATGACCCATCCACTCCCAGTCTTTATTCAAGCCTAAGTTAATTGTATCTAGTTTGCAAATTAATTCCAATTCAGCAGTTTCTCGTTTCAGAGTAGCAGCCGTGTTAGTCTGTATCCGCAAAAAGAAAAGGAGGACTTGTGGCTTGCTGTTTCTCCAAAACGTAGGAGTGTGTGTAGGAGAAGGCTGTAAGGATCCCATCAGTGGAGGGCTGCAGGTGTTCCATTCCCCAATACTGGAGGAGCAGGGACACAAAATATCAGAGGAGTTCAGAGTCAACCATCCCTCAAACTTCATCAGTTTCAGAAAGAAATTCAATAGCTAAGGCATAGGCACGACTAGAATGGTGGTAATGGCACTGACAACAATTATCATAGTTCTTCTTGCAACAAAAGGCATTGTAGATACTTCTGTACAGTACATAAATTCTCCACCAGGTTTTTAACACATTGCTCACCATGCAGCAGCATAAAGATTCTGTCTAGTTGAAAAACCTGTGGCTTCATTTCAGTATCCTCCTAATCATCTGGTATTGTTATCTGAAGTTTCAGAGTAACAGCCGTGTTAGTCTGTATTCGCAAAAAGAAAAGGAGTACTTGTGGCACCTTAGAGACTAACCAATTTATTTGAGCATGAGCTTTCGTGAGCTACAGCTCACTTCATCAGATGTATACCGTGGAAACTGCAGCAGACTTTATATACACACAGAGAATATGAAACAATACCTCCTCCCACGGGAGGGAGGAGGTATTGTTTCATATTCTCTGTGTGTATATAAAGTCTGCTGCAGTTTCCACGGTATACATCTGATGAAGTGAGCTGTAGCTCACGAAAGCTCATGCTCAAATAAATTGGTTAGTCTCTAAGGTGCCACAAGTACTCCTTTTCTTTTTGTTATCTGAAGTGTAACCTTTCATGCAAAGCCTTTTTTGTCATTCATCATCAGGATGCTTTGGCTCAGACTCTTATTGCAGAGCCAATAGAAGATCAACAAACAGGACCAAACCCCTTAAAATGAGATTTGGCAATTCAGCCATTTTAAAGTTTATATTAGATGAAAACTGGTCTTACTCTACGTTGAGAATAGCTGCTATACATATGTAGCACCTATTTTTCTCTTTAATATTAAAACCCTCATACGCTCCCGGCTTTGTATGTAATTCATAATATAGATCAGGGGTTCTCATAACAAACTTTTTGATGGCCTCAGAGCGCGGCCACCAACTCTTTCCTGTGGCCGCTCTGACAATTTTTCCTAAAATACTCAATTAACTTTAGGAAAAACAGATAAATATGCACATATACATATCCAAATCATTGTAATTCATTTATGTAGAGCTTTTTGGTAGACTCAATGATAAAAATAATGTACAGTTGTTTCTCTTCTTTACTGGACCTATACAGAATAGAAAACACATATAAGGTGCTTTGCACATTCATCTTTTTTTGTTGTTGCTTCTTTTGCTTTTTAGGTTGCTTTAAAAAAGAAACAAAACATTTGTTTTGAATGCTTGTTAATATCACTTTTCACAGCAGACTTACTAGCTAGCTGGGAGTGATATTAACATACATACAAATATCAATTGTCACGGCAGACTTACTCAGCCCTGTTGAGCCAGGAGACAAATTAAGCCCTGGATGAGGAGGTGGGTAGGGAGACAGAGGGGGCAAGGGAGGTGGATGGGGAGCCAGGAAGGCAGCAGGGGCCAGGGATCATACAGGGGGTGGTGAGCCGAGACCTGGCATCCACAGCCGGAGCCCAAAGCCCCACGACCAGAGCCTGCTGTCTGTCCTCCCAGGGCTGAAGCCCGAAGCCAGAGCCTCACTGTACCCAGGAAAGTGTGTAACTCATTGGCTGCCTGCTTCTCTGACCTTTGTGGCTCCAGAGGAGGGCAGGGCACAACCCCTGCTGGTGGCTCTGGGGGAAGGGTCCACTGCTTTCACCCCTTCCTCGCCCCAGTCACTGCCCACGAGGCTGTAGCAGCAAGAAAAGCCCCTGGTGGCCGCAAGCACCCTCGGTGGCCGCGTTTGAGAAACGCTGAGTAGATATACCACATATGTATAGCAAAACAACATGACTGATTTCACTGCATAAGTATATTTATATTATAGGATATTAGGAAATTACTGTTCTGTTTGCTCAGCAGCCATGATCATATTGTGGTAGGATATTATAAGTCAAAGAAAATTTATTCTTCCAGTTTCATAATATGCAGCATTTGATTACAAGAGGCCCTTTGAAACATAGGTCAGATGTAGAGCTAAATTATTCCCTCTCTTCCTGCCTAACTCTACAGACTTCACTCGGTTTTATAAATGTAAATTTGGGCAGAATTTGACCCTTAATTTCTTACCAGACTGAAAGGAAACAGTATAAGGAGCCTAAGTGGGCAAAGTTTAAGAGATATGGCGTCTCTCCATTGCAAAGCATCCAAAAGTACAAATCTTCCTAGAAACAGAAGTTTCACACCTTCCCTCTTGAAGGAAGAAAAGGAGTACTTGTGGAACCTTAGAGACTAACAAATTTATTTGAGCGTAAGCTTTCATGAGCTACAGCTCACTTCATCTGAAACCTCTTGAAGGAGGCCTGCTTCAGAAGTAAACACTTTTCCCTCTGAATTAGAGTGCCTACATCTAGAAAGACTGATGGATACACCCTTTTAACAAGGGTCTGTCTACTGTCAGGCTCCTTATACTGTTTTGTTTCAGTCTGGTAAGAAATTAAGGGTCAGATTTTGCCCACATTTAGATTTATAAAACCTAGTGAAGTCTGTAGAGTTAGGCAGGAAGAGAGGGCAGAATTTAGCTCTACATCTAGCCCATGTTTCAAAGGGCCTCTGGGGCATACAATATGTTTTTCTCTAGCCCATTAGGAACATTGTTTACTGAACAATCAAGTGCTTAAGAAGAGTGATAAAACCAGAGCATTTTTTCTTTTCAGACTCTTTAGTGATTGAACTCCATAGGCACACATTTGTTTCTACTGCCTTTGAGGCATCCTCTCTACCTTCTTTAATCTCAGGTCAAAAAAATGGCCGTTGAATTATTTATAGGAATGTTCATTTGCTTCAATTTGGCCCAATATCACTACAGAAGTTTCTAATAAGCCCATCTTCACTTGATCTACAACAGCCTTACAATGTTTTCCTATGAGCCAGCTAGTAAATCTCTAAACTACTCTTGCATCTGCACCCATTAGGCTAGAAGATGACCTATCCACAGTTGTCAGAAAAGATTACTTGGAAATAGAAACTCCCAACTACTTCAACAATAACCAGTTTCAGAAAGAATTACTGGAGTAAACCATCAAAAACAAAAGCAAGAGAACATTGCCAGACATTTGAAGACGACAACATATCCATCTGCAACAACACCAAGAACTGTGTACATTCTCTGTCTTTAAAAAACTCAATGTTCCTGTTTCAGAGTAACAGCCATGTTAGTCTGTATTCTCAAAAAGAAAAGGAGTACTTGTGGCACCTTAGAGACTAACCTATTTGAGCATAAGCTTTCGTGAGCTACGGATGCATCCGATGAAGTGAGCTGTAGCTCACGAAAGCTTATGCTCAAATAAATTGGTTAGTCTCTAAGGTGCCACAAGTACTCCTTTTCAATGTTCCTGCAAACTGTTTATATGTTCTATTACATTCATTCCAAGCACACAATCTTTAAAACAGGGCTTGAAAAATCCACGCACCAATGATTAGTGAGATACTCTTCTCTAGCCGGAGCCTCAGCCATAAATTTCTGCAGAATATTAGCTTTCTTTTTTTTTAAAAAGTGTTTCTACCCCTCATGGTAACCTAACCTTCCAATGTGAACTACATATAAACCAAAGCGACATGTTCTTCCTGATTCTATACACACACACACACACACACACACACACACACACCCCTTCAGTGTCTCTGCTATTGTTCACAGCTTTAACAAACAGTGCAGGAGTAAACTTAACGAAAAAACAGTGCAGGAGTAAACTTAACGAAACGGGTCATGTCGTTGCTGTTATTCAGAACCCTACGGCAACAATGTCAGAGAAAACCACCCATCTTCTCAGCAGCCAGAATGCTCTAGAGGGAGGAAAAAGAGAAAGCTTCTCTCTTAACCACTTTATTTTTTAGTGCAGGAGGTGATGCTTTGTAGTGCTTCATGTAAGACACCTACTAAACAGAAGCTGCTATTAAAGACTAACTCACAAAAAAAAAAATCTACAAAAACAGAGAGGAGTCCAGTGGCACCTTAAAGACTAACAGAATTATTTGGGCATAAGCTTTCGTGGGTAAAAAGCCCACTTCTTGTATTTGAAGTCTGTTTTTGAAGTTTTTTTTGTTGAAGTATGGCTACTTTTAAATCTGTTAATAGAATGTCCAGGGAGATTGAAGTGTTCTCCTACTTACTTTTGTATGTTACCATTCCTCATGTCTGATTTGTGTCCATTTATTCTTTTACGTAGAAACTGTCTGGTTTGGCCCATGTACATGGCAGAGGGGCATTGCTTGCACTAGCAGATGTGCAAATGACGGTATCTATCACATTAGTAGATGTGCAGGTGAATGAGCCCCTGATGGTGTGGCTCATGTGGTTTGGTCCTCTGATGGTGTCGCTAGAGTAGATATGGGGACAGAGTAGGCAACAGACTTCAAAGAGAAACTGCAGAACCGCAATTTATTTGCGAAATTACCACCATTAATTTGGGCTTGAATAGGGACTGGGAGTGGCTGGCTTACGACAAAAGCAACTTTCCCTCTCTTGGTATTGACACCTCCTCACCAATTATTGGAGTGGACCACACTCACCCCGATTGAATTGGCCCTGTCAACACTGGTTCTCCACTTGTAAGGTAACTCCCTTCTCTTCATGTCAGTATATTTATGCCTGCATCTGTAATTTTCACTCCATGCATCTGAAGAAGTGGGCTTTTTACCCATGAAAGCTTATGCCCAAATAAATCCGTTAGTCTTTAAGGTGCCACCGGACTCCTCGTTGTTTTTGTGGAAACGGACTCACACGGCTACCCCTCTGATAAAAAAAAAAAAAAAAGGATGTATTGACAGTGCTTTTCCCAGTAGCTGGGGTTAACTGGGATTCACCAGGGCATTGCTCCTAGACCTCCTTAGTGTTCACTCCCACCTTACCCCACCCTCTCCTTTTGTATCTATATCTGCCTATCGCTGTAGACCTTCCATTAGTAGGCATTAGGTATGTTTATCAAGCTCTTCTTTAAAAGATTAATTGTATTAATTTCTGCTTCAGCCTAAATACAGAAGATGGGAAGTACAATATGCCGAAAAAGCAGTAAACTAATATCCCATTGGAAAACTACTACAATGTATTAATTGAGGAGCTAAGAGCTTTTGAAGCTAAAGCTCTATTGAGTCTAGATGAAATACAGACTCATTACATTATGTTCAAAGAGATTTACCCTGTATTCTAGAATCTGTAATGATCAGATGCTCTAGTTTTTCAGCTAAGATTATGTTTGGTAATAAACTGAGATTAAAATAAAAAAGTAAACAATGATGAGAATTACCTGAATGTTTTATATATACTATTGGTACTTTTTAGCAAATATTAATGCTTTTAGTATATTAAATTAATTTACATATTAACTACTCTCCCAAAATCTTTAAGGTATTAGCAAAGTGTATTTGAATAGTAAGGCCAGAGTGTTGGTCCATAACATGTGAATAACTTATATTCAGGAATTTTTATGATTATTAGACGATAATCCACCATGGCTGGCACCTGCACGTCTGTGAGAAAGCAGGTGTCCAGGATAAAGTCCTCCTCAAACTACCAAAAGGGTCTACTAAGATATAAGCAGGATTGATAAGGAACAATTGTTATTGTAGAAGCTTTCTGCAATGATGAAATGGGAATCCATTAAAAGATGTTTTGGGAAATGTCGGTTGTCCTAGATGTTAGGGATAATGACCAGATTAGAATTCCCTTCTTGCTTATCAATCATGTAACCTAAAGATACCATAAATGAAATTCCATAAGTAACGAGAAACAACACGATTAAAACGTAAGATATAGAGAAAGCGATCATGGGAAAATATTTTTCCAACGCCAAAAGGGATTTCTTTTTCTCATACCCTATAAAAAGACAGAGGTACTGGGAATTAGGTAGAGGATGCAAAATTGTTGGCATCTCACCAGATACAGAGAAGAGAAAGACAAAGGTCATCTCTTTGCCTTACACCAAGCGTGGTAATGCAGTGGCACTCAACCTTTCCCGACTACTGAATCCCTTTCAGGAGTCAGATCTGTCTTGCATACCCCCAAGTTCCACCTCACTTAAAAACTACTTGCTTACAAAATCAGACATAAAAATACGAGAGAGTCACAGTGCACTATTACTGAAAAATTGCTTACTTTTTCATTTTTATCATATCATTATAAAATATATCAACTGAAATAAAAATATTGAATTTACATATACAGCAGTATAAACAAGTAATTGTCTGTATGACATTTTAGTTTGTACTGACTTCGCTAGTGCTTTTTATGTAGCCTATTGTAAAATTAGGCAAATATCTAGATGAGTTGATGTACCCTCTGGAAGACCTTGGCATACCCCTGGTTGAGAACCACTGCGGTAATGTATCTATTCTTTCTGTATAGTGCTGTACTAATTTCCAATTCATAATCTTTGATTTAAATTACTAAAAAATAGGTTCAAATGGAATTATTTAAATTATTAAATTCAAACATGTAACAATACACACACACAAACACTCAAGTTTACTGTCCTAAATTGAACTAGTGGAAAATGTTAATAAATGAGTTATACAGTATTTTAATTTTTCCCAAGTACCTACTTGTGACAGTATTGTTTGAGGCAGTCAGTGCTGTTAGAGTATTTACATCCCAGAGGAATATCTGTCTGTCCAGCCCGGCAGATGCTACCAGTTCTTTATCTTTTGCATATGCTAAGGCCTTCACATAATCCTACAATAAAATGGGTACAGCAACATGACATTACAGAACCAGCAAATAACCTTCAGTATGAAGTCTGCATCTAAATACGTACACTATTTTTTTAGAACAGTAATGATCATTTATGCATCTTTAATTCATGCCTTTTACCTTATGTGTCCTTAGTGTTGACATGCAAAATCCCTTATGTGCATTCCACACTTTAACAGTAGTATCTGAAGAAGCAGATATCACTAAATGGAAAAGATTGGTACATTTTAACAGATTATTTCATCAGAGCATGTGAAGCTCTTAATATCTTTTAGTTTCTCTTCAAAGATTAGAGGAATTGTATATCTTTGCTGTTCATACAATACACTTTACCGAAACTTATTTTATATACTAACAACGCAAAAAGTTACCCAAGTTGTAGCAAGTGAAGCAGTTGGTAACAGTCATATACTTAATAAATTTCTGAATGCCATATTTTCCCATTTTATACTATTAAATACTGAACAAAGTAAAGAGATACTTACATGTTTTACCATTGCAACAAAGTACAATATCGTTTACCCAATCAGTGTGATGTTCCATAGATGCTATATAAGGGTCTTGCTGGAATTAAAAATAAATTGTATGAGGTCCCTTCAACATTGGAAAAGACTAAACTGGTTTTTGGGTTCAGTTGTGATATCCCCTTCTACCTCTCATACCGATTAGCAGTTATTTCAAATAGTCCCACCGAAGTCAATGGGGCTACTTGTGATAACTACCACCCGGCAATATGAGTAAGTGGGTCACAATTTAGTCTTTAGTAAAACTCATATTTTGAAATACTTTATATGTGGAATAGTTGTTATACTGAAGTTTAATCTCATACCATTTTATAATGCTTATTTGTGTACAGCATGACAGCTGTGCAAGGCACCAAGTAAACTTAAGACAAGATTCCTAAGCAAAGGAGCTCACAACCTAAAATCCTAAAGGTGCTGAGCTAAGGACACTCATCACGTTGCAAGATCTGACCCTAATTAAGACAGACAACAGGTTAGTAAAACATAACATGCCAGGGGAGAAGAATGGAGACAGATCCTGATAAAATAAAGGGGAATGGGAAAAGCGGAAAAAGGAGTCTCCTTAGGATATAAAAAAAAAAAAAAAATGATCAACCTAAATAGCAGTAACTTAAGAAAAAAGTCCAGATCCTTCAAAATAAAGTACATTAATAAGCAAAGCAACTCCATAATCTTACCTGATGTAATTTCCCCCCCCCCAACTATATACCCTTTATTATCTACTTTTGTTGTATTCTCTTAACATAGACTGTAAGCAATTTGGGGTATGAATCACATCCTATTTGTCTGTAAAATGCCATGCATTTTTAATAGCATAAGGATAGCTACAAACCCTTAGAAAAATGTCAACATTGTAATAATCTAGTTTAAATTAGTCCACCTGACAGAGTCCGCTAATATAAAAAGTGACTTTTTAAATTAATAAAAAAGACTACGTCTCTTTGCTTACCTTGTGCTGATTGACACTCCATATCCTTATTATAGAGTCTCGACCCGCCGTGAAGAGTCTGTTTAATGCTGGATCCAGCTGGAGTGCATTTACACCATTTCGATTATACTTCTCTACCTCATCTCTAATCACATAGGAGACCTAAAATATATTTATACAAATCTGATTATGGTATTCAGATATTTAGTCTACATGAAAGAAGTGACTCTATAGCCATTTCATTTTTAATAGCACCTTCCATTCAAAAAATCTCAAAGAACTTTACAAACATTAAATAACCAAGTCTCAGCATCCTCTGTGAGACTGACAGCCATTATTCCCAATTTACAGATAGAATAACTGAGGCACAGAGAGGTTAGGAGATTTGTTCCAAGTCACATAGATGACTTTGTCAGAGTCTGGAACAAAACTAAAAGGAAGGACAGTTCAGTGGTTAAAGTGCTAGCCTAGGCATTGTGAGACCTGGGTTTAATTCCCTGTTGTGAGACAGACATAGTATATGTCCCCGGGCAAGTCACTTAGTCTGTGCCTGGGCTCCCCAGTTGTAAAGTGGGGATAACAGTATCTCTTTACCTCACAACATTTTTGATTATGAGGTGCTCAGGCAACGGGGGCTATAATATCTAAGACTGAAAGAACCCAACTCTCCTTACTCTTAGTCCTGTGCTTTAAAAGGGACACAGTCTTGAAAATTATTTCCTTCTGAAAAAGTCTGCTGTTATACAGAACTCATAAGATTACACGAACAATAGTTATTTTTCCAATTACTTTTCCATTTGACAGCACTGTGCATATTATTCATTAAACTATTTTGCTGATGATCAGCTGTACGCCTGTCTTATGCACTATCATGACATAACTCAGGCATAGCAATGAGTCAAACGTACATGTTTGGTCTTCTAAAATCTCTACAAGATGTAATTGGAATAACATGATTTTAAGGTCTGTTATAATATATCCTGCCACAGCAAGAAACACGTGCGTACACAAGTGTTTCCAACACCTGTAAACTTTTTACAAGCAGTAAACATTCGGTCCCTGAATTATTACTTATCTATTACAACAGTCCCAGGAGACCCAAAACTAGATCAGAGCCCCCACTGTGCTAAGGTGTTGAACAGATACCTATTAAAAATACAAAAAAACAAACAAACATTCCTCCCCTCAGTGTCTTCTTGTCCATCAGCCACCCTCCTTCCCTGTATAGCCCCAAGCCCCTCTCCCACTTGTTCCATCCTTTGTGGCCTGGCTCTCAATACTGCTAGATTCTCCCACCTACTTGAATCCCATCTACAATCTCTCAGCTTCTCCTACTAAGGTCCCCACAATATACCCTACCTCCTTACTCTGCCAAAACAATCCACCATCTCCTCCCAGGGGCTGGGCCCATCTTCTCACCTGCACTTTCTACCTCCCTGCTGTAAGGATAAGGCCTTTTCCTGTAGACATACTGTAAGGTCTGAGGCCTTTGTCTGCAGCTAGATTAGGAAAGCAGCAGCCATGAGCTAAAAAGCAGAACGTCATATCCTCACATTCCATCTAAATTATATTAAAACAATGTAATGTCGGGCTGTTAAGGTGATCCTGTCTTAATAGTAACCACCATCACCAGATAAAGAAACACATCTTAAGACGGTTAAAGAAAACTTTGCTTGATAGCATTCTGTCTGGCAAGAAATCATTTATCAACGGTTGTGATGGTAAAATCTATACTTCTATTGTTTTCCCTGTATGGTCCCTCCTTCTCTATTGTTTATCTGTATGGTCTCGGTCTGGTTCTTTGATTGTTTCTGTCTGTTGCATAAGTAATTTTGCTAGGTGTAAATCAACTATGGTGGTGGGGTATGATTGGTTAAATCGTTTTACAATGTTAGGTTTGGTTAGAAAATTGTTTAGTAATATTTTAGTAAAACGATTGGTTAAGGTACAGCTAAGAAGGACTCAAGTTTCACTATATAAACTGGGGTCCAAAAGGAAGTTCTTTGGAACCAACTCCAGGACACAGCCCCAAGATCAGAGTTGCCAGACCTCAATACTCTGCTAATGACACCATGGAGAAGCTGGAGTTCCCCAGATGACCGGATCCAATAAGGCAGATGAACTTTTCTTGATGGCCAGCCAGGAAGTGGTGAGCATTGTATACTTAGCATGTGATTGTTAATAAATAGAGATTAAGTAGAATATTACTGTGTAAGGCTCTTTCACTAGTAAAAGATCCCGCAAATCCACAGAGTGTAAGGTTAAGCCTTGAGCCTGTGGAAGGGTAAAGATGGGTGCCCTAGAGCAGGGATGAGGAACCTCCGGCCCGCGGGCCAGATCCGGCTCATTGCTTCATTTCATCCGACCTGTGGCAAGTCTCCGCGCTGAGTGCCGGAAGCCCTGAGCCTCGGCGCCCCCCCGTGGGGCTGAAGCCATAAGCACCAGCTCGCCCCACAGCGGTGGGAAGCTAGGGTTACATCTGGTCAGCTCCGCGCAGCTCCCGGAAGCGACCAGCATGTCCCCGTGGCCCCTAGGCACAGGAGCAATCAGGAAAGCTGTGTGCTGCCCACGCCCCCTGTGCTGGCTCTGCAGCTCCCACTGGCTGAGAACCGCGGCCTATGGGAGTGGTGCCTGTGGGTGCGGGCAGTGCGCACCACGCAGAGCCCCCTGGCCCCTCCACTAAGAGGCTGGATATGTCAGCTGCTTCTGGGAGAAGCGCAGAGCCAGGGCAGGCAGGGAGCCTACCTTAGCCCTGCTGACCGGGAGCTGTCTGAGATAAGCGCTGTCCAGCCAGAGCCTGCACCCTGAACACCCTGCTCGAGGTCGGAACCCCCTCCCGCACCCTAACTCCATCCCAGACTCCACACCAGCACCCCAACCCTGAGCCTGCTCCCGCACTCCAAACCCCTCTTCTGCACCCCAAACCCCTCATCCCCAGCTCCACCCCAGAACCTGCACCCCCAGCCAGAGCCCTCACTCCCTCCAGTACCCCAACCCCCTGCCCCAGCCCCCTCCTACACCCTGAACCCCTGATTTCTGGCCCCATCCTGGAGCCTAGGGGAAGCGCTGAGCCTCCATGCCTCCCCCAAGGGCTGTATGTAGCCCATGACTGATTTTTTTTTGTGCGTCAATGGTCCCTGATAGAAAAAAGGTTCCCCACCCCTACCCTAGAGTGTAACGTTGAGCCCTGAGCCCTAGGAACTGGGTAAAGGTGAGTGACATAGAGCGTGCGAACAACAGAGAATTTTGTGCGGGTAACACTGCCATGTTCTGTCAGTTATGTGCTGCCATCTAGTTTGTATTTATGATTCTCTTATGGCTCTAAATCAGCATTTTAAGAAGAGAGATGCTGTCAATCTGGAGACGTGTCTTGTTATCTTCAAAGATGACGCGGACAAAAGTGTACGGCTTCAGGTAAGAGAACAAGTAAAAAAGGGAAGAAAATGTGAGATTTCTGTCTACAGCATCAGAAAGCCTTCTGATAAACACCGATGGGCATAATGATGTTTCATTTATGTAGTTATTTTTGTAGTATAGATGGAGGCTGTATAGTGTGCTGCTACTCCACTCCTTAGCAAGGCCTGAACACACTGCCTCTACATTGTTAAGAGTCCTTGCTTGACTGAAAGAAAAGGAGTACTTGTGGCACCTTAGAAACTAACCAATTTATCTGAGCATAAGCTCTCGTGAGCTACAGCTCACTTCATTGGATGCATACTGTGGAAAGTATAGAAGATCTTTTTATACACACAAAGCATGAAAAAATGGGTGTTTACCACTACAAAAGGTTTTCTCTCCCCCCACCCCACTCTCCTGCTGGTAATAGCTTATCTAAAGTGATCACTCTCCTTACAATGTGTATGATAATCAAGGTGGGCCATTTCCAGCACAAATCCAGGGTTTAAAAAGAAGGGGGGGGGGGGAAGGTTACCTTGCATAATGACTTAGCCACTCCCAGTCCCTGCTTGACTGGTTGTGCAAGAGAACACAGTATAAAATAAAAGCCTGGTCTGTATAGCAAGACAAAGCACTAGCCAGAAAATAGATAGTTTTCAGATTATTCATATTCAGTCCATGAAGACAGGCAACTTTCCTGAAAAACTAGAGTAGAAACAACTCACACTGTTAGCTACAAGATGCTGGGTACTGGCAGCTCAAACTAGATGATCATGGTCATCAGGAAGAAATGTCCTTTCTCCTTGTGACATACTGCTATAGTTGAGATCAGCAGAGGCACTCAAGTTACAGCACCTCAATGTAAGTGAGAGGGAGATGCTGGCAAGGCGTCCACTATAATTCATTCTCGACTTTGGAACTTGCTTCTCCGCTGGGGTCTTTCACAGCCTAGATTAGTTAGCCTTCTAGGCACACTGCAAAGCCAATCATTTCCTCACCTCCCGCTTCACTAAGGATGTTTTGAAGGGTATGGGCTGACGTGGACATGTTTGTGGGCAGTCCTTTGTTTACATTCATGTTGTAATTTTTAAATTTATGTGACAGGCACCCAGAACACTTGATGGGCGCCTATAATTTTATTAAACATTAAAATTAAAAATAAATGATAGCCCCTTTCAGTAGCACTATTTGTGAAGAGCGTTTGGGGTTGGAGGATAACTGGTTACTTTTGCATATGAGTGAGACTTTTATGGGATTAAGTGAAGAAAAGGTTCATATATTTCTTGATCAAACCCACACAAGCAAACTTGCAAAACTTAATATTCTAGCATGAGAAGAGATAAGCAGCTATGTTTCCCACTAACCAACATACAATTCTTATATACTATTGGCACAGATAAACTATGGTAGTGAAATCATCTCGTACAGAAAGGAGACAATAAGACAGTCATTTCTGCTTTATTCTGTGACTGATCAGGCACATCAATTAAATTATTCTGCTCTAGAGGTCCTTGAAATATTAGTTGTTGGCTAAGCAGTTGCTTTTCACATTGTGCAAATGCACATCTGATTAGGGAACAACTGAGAACTGTTAACGACTCACTAGAATGTTCATCAGGGAGAGACTGTACTTGTTTCCTGGTTTCATAAAATAGCAGCTATATCAAAAGATTTAAATAAGGGTCTCTAAAGTTCCTTTCAGTCATGAGACCTGAAAACATATGGATCTAAATTCTAAGTGAAAATACAGGGGAACTCAGGCAAACCAAGGCATGATACTATTAAGAAGCCACTGCAGACTAACACAGAATAGCATTGCCTCTTTTTCTGTAGATTGCACAATCGTAAAACACCTGAATAAGTCAACAATTAAAGCAATCGAGACCAACAACAAAGAAAATAAAGACATAGCATCTCTATGGATAGAAATTCCAGGCATGAATAATAAGAGTATAGCAGCAGAAATATACTACCGACCACCTTAAAAGGATAGTGATTGTGAAATACTCAGGGAGATTAGAGAGGCTCCAGAAACAGAAAACTCAGTGATAATGGGTGATTTCAACTCTTCCCATATTGACTGGGTACTTGTCACCTAGGAGGGAGGCACAGATAACAATTTTAGACACCATTAGTAACTACTTCTTGGAGCAGTAGTCCTGGAATCCACAAGAGAAGAGGCAATTCTTCATTTAGTCCTAAGTGGAGCACAGATCTGGTTCAAGAGGTAAATACAGCTGAAGTGAACTGTAGCTCACGAAAGCTTATGCTCAAAGAAATTGGTTAGTCTCTAAGTTGCCACAAGTACTCCTTTTCTTTTTGCGAATACAGACTAACACGGCTGTTACTCTGAAACCTGACAGCTGAACTGCTTGGTAATAGCGACCATAATATAATTAAAATTCAACATCCTTGTAGGGAGAAAAATACCAAAAAAAAACCCCCCACCACAGTAGCCTTTAACTTCAAAATGGGGGATTACACAAAAATGAGGAGGCTAGTTAAATGGAAATTAAAAGGAACAGTCATAATAGTGAAATGTGTTCAAGCTGCATGGAAACTTTTAAAAAACACCATAATAGAGGCTCAAAACTATATGTATACCCTAAATAAAAAAGAAAAAACAGTAAGAGGACCAAAAAAAAAAAAAAAAAAAAGCCACCATAGCTAAACAGAGTAATAGAGGAGTACTTGTGGCACCTTAGAGACTAACCAATTTATTTGAGCATAAGCTTTCGTGAGTTACAGCTCACTTCATTGGATGCATCTGCTGAAGTGAGCTGTAGCTCACGAAAGCTTATGCTCAAATAAATTGGTTAGTCTCTAGGGTGCCACAAGTACTCCTTTTCTTTTTGCGAATACAGACTATCATGGCTGCTACTCTGAAAAGAGTAATAGAGGCAGTTAGAGAAAAAAAGACATCCTTTAAAAATTGGAAGTCATATTCTAATGAGTAAAACAGAAAGGAACAATCTCTGGCAAGTCATGTGTAAAAGTATAACTGGAAGATCAACTAGCAAAACACCAAAACTAACAGCAATTTTTAAGTACATCAGAAGCAGGAGGCTGCCAAACAATCAGCTGGACCACTGGACAATCAAGATGCTAAAGGAGCACTCATGGAAGAAAAGACCATTGTGGAGAAGCTAAATTAATTATTTGCATCAGTCTTTACTGCAGAGGATGAGAGGGACATTTTGACACCTGAGCCCTTCTTTTTAGGTGACAAATCTGAGGAAAAGTCCCAGATTGAGGTGTCAGCAGAGGAGGTATTGGAACAAATTGTGATATTAAACAGTAATAAATCACAAGGAGCACATGGTACTTACCCAAGTGTTCTGAAGGAACTCCAACATGAAACTTTAGAACTGCTAGCTCTTGTATGTAACCTATCACTTAAATCAGCTTCTGTACCAGATGACTGGCAGATACCTAATGTAATACCAATTTTTATAAAATGGCTTCAGAGGCGATCCCGGCAATTACAGGCTGATAAGCCTAACTTCAGTACCACGCAAATTGGTTGAAACTATAGTAAAGAACAGAATTATCAGATGCATTGATAAACACGATACGTTGAGAAAGAGTCAACATGGCTTTTATAAAGGGAAATCATACCTCATCAATCTATTAGAATTCTTTGAGAGTGTCACTAAGAATGTGGACAAGGTGATCCAGTGGCTATAGCGTGTACTTGGACTTTCAGGAAGCTTTACACAAGGTCGCTCACAAAAGACTTTTAAGCAAAATAAGCAGTCATGATGTAAGAGGGAAGGTCCTCTCATGGATCAGTTAACTGATTAACAGATAGAAAACAAATGGTAGGAATAAATGGTCAATTTTCACAGTGGAAAGAGGTAAATAGCGAGGTCCCCCAAAGATCTGTACTGGGACCTGTGGTATTCAACACATTTATAAAAATTTATCTGGAAAAAAGGGGTAAGCAACAAAGTGGCAAAGTTTGCAGAAAATATAAAATTACTCAAGATGGTTAAGTCCAAAGCTGATTGCAAAGAGTTACAAAGAGATCTTACAATACTGAGTGGCTGGGTAACAAAACGGCAGACAAAGTTCAATGTTGATAAATGCAAAGTAATGGACATTGGAAAACTGAATCCCAAGTATACATACAAAATGATAGGATCTAGATTAGCTGTTTCCACAATCTCGAGTGCTGTCTTTTTGCATAGTTCTCCAAAAACATCTGGTCAATGTGCGGTGGGAGTCAAAAAATGCTAACAGACTGTTAGGTACCATTAGGAAAGGGATAGATAAGATGACATAAAATATAATGCCATTACATAAATGCATGGTATACCCACATCTTGAATACTGCAGGCAATTCTAGTTACACCACCTCAAAAAGATATATTAAAATTGGAAAAGGTACAGAAGTGCAACAAAAATGATAAGGGATATGGAACAGCTTCCATATGAGGAGAGATTCAAAAGACTGGGACTGTTCAGCTTAGAAAAGAGATGACTAAGGGGAGATATATATGATAGCCATCTATAAAATCATGAATGGTGTGGAGAAAGTGAATAAGGAAGTATTATTTACCCCTTCACATAACACAAGAATCAACGGTCACTCAATTAAGTTAATAGGCAGCAGATTTACAACAAACAAAAGGAAGTATTTCTTCACACAACAACACAGTCAACCTGTGAAACTCATTGCCAGGGGATGCTGTGAAAGCCAAAACTATAACTGGACTCAAAAAAGAAAAAAATAATTAGATATGTTCATGGAGAATCGATACATCAATGGCTATTAACCAAGACTGCAAAGCCTCCGACTCCTAGATCCTGGGACTGGACGACAGAGAATGGATCATTTGATAATTGCTCTGTTCTGTTCATTCCCTCTGCAGCATCTGGCACAGGCCATTGCCAGAGGACAGGATACTGGGCTAGACAGACCAGTGTCAAACTAGAAAAAAGAAAAGGAGTACTTGTGGCACCTTTTCTTCTTGTGAATACAGACTAACACGGCTGCTACTCTGAAACTAGAAAAAAGGGACTGTAGTGTCATGTGAACTTAACAGGTAAATAAAATATTTTTAGAGCAAGAACTATCTTTTTTTTTTAAAAGAGAGACAGCCAGCAAAGCCTTGTCAGCAACAGCAAAGGTACATGTTGCTGAAGCCCACTGTCAGCAACAGGTAATTTTGCTACTGTTGACAAGGATCAAGAGAGCTTATGATAGGTCATATGCTCTTCCGATACCATCAGAAGGTAGAATTTGAAACAGACATTTCTGTCTCACCTAAGAAATCTTTACAACTTTTACAATCCCTCCGTAGTAAGATTTCCCCTCTTTAAAAAGAATGCTATTCCTGACTAGTATATTTTAAGCTTAAGACGAATGGAGTAAGAAAGAAAAAAAAAAGTTATCCTCTGAAGAATGACCTGTAGCAATAACTTTCTGCCTCTCATAAAAAGAAACTATCATAATATGTTTTAAATAATAAATAATAAATAATAATAATAATAATATTCCTGCAGATAAAGCAAATGCTTCTTGTATTTAGAATCATAGAATATAAGGGTTGGAAGGGACCTCAGAAGGTCATCTAGTCCAACCCCCTGCTCGAAGCAGGACCAAATCCCAGTTAAATCATCCCAGCCACGGCTTTGTCAAGCCTGACCTTAAAAACCTCTAAGGAAGGAGATTCTACCACCTCCCTAGGTAACGCATTCCAGTGTTTCACCACCCTCTTAGTGAAAAAGTTTTTCCTAATATCCAATCTAAACCTCCCCCACTGCAACTTGAGACCATTACTCCTCGTTCTGTCATCTGCTACCATTGAGAACAGACTAGAGCCATCCTCTTTGGAACCCCCTTTCAGGTAGTTGAAAGCAGCTATCAAATCCCCCCTCATTCTTCTCTTCTGCAGGCTAAACAATCCCAGCTCCCTCAGCTTCTCCTCATAAGTCATGTGTTCCAGACCCCTAATCATTTTTGTTGCCCTTCGCTGGACTCTCTCCAATTTATCCACATCCTTCTTGAAGTGTGGGGCCCAAAACTGGACACAGTACTCCAGATGAGGCCTCACCAATGTCGAATAGAGGGGAACGATCACGTCCCTCGATCTGCTGGCAATGCCCCTACTTATACATCCCAAAATGCCATTGGCCTTCTTGGCAACAAGGGCACACTGCTGACTCATATCCAGCTTCTCGTCCACTGTCACCCCTAGGTCCTTTTCCGCAGAACTGCTGCCTAGCCATTCGGTCCCTAGTCTGTAGCTGTGCATTGGGTTCTTCCGTCCTAAGTGCAGGACCCTGCACTTATCCTTATTGAACCTCATCAGATTTCTTTTGGCCCAATCCTCCAATTCGTCTAGGTCCTTCTGTATCCTATCCCTCCCCTCCAGCGTATCTACCACTCCTCCCAGTTTAGGATCATCCGCAAATTTGCTGAGAGTGCAATCCACACCATCCTCCAGATCATTTATGAAGATATTGAACAAAACCGGCCCCAGGACCGACCCTTGGGGCACTCCACTTGATACCGGCTGCCAACTAGACATGAAGCCATTGATAACTACCCGTTGAGCCCGACAATCTAGCCAGCTTTCTACCCACCTTATAGTGCATTCTTCCAGCCCATACTTCCTTAACTTGCTGACAAGAATACTGTGGGAGACCGTGTCAAAAGCTTTGCTCAAGTCAAGAAACAATACATCCACTGCTTTCCCTTCATCCACAGAACCAGTAATCTCATCATAAAAGGCGATTAGATTAGTCAGGCATGACCTTCCCTTGGTGAATCCATGCTGGCTGTTCCTGATCACTTTCCTCTCATGCAAGTGCTTCAGGATTGATTCTTTGAGGACCTGCTCCATGATTTTTCCAGGGACTAAGGTGAGGCTGACTGGCCTGTAGTTCCCAGGATCCTCCTTCTTCCCTTTTTTAAAGATTGGCACTACATTAGCCTTTTTCCAGTCATCCGGGACTTCCCCCGTTCGCCACGAGTTTTCAAAGATAATGGCCAATGGCTCTGCAATCACAGCCGCCAATTCCTTCAGCACTCTCGGATGCAACTCGTCCGGCCCCATGGACTTGTGCACGTCCAGCTTTTCTAAATAGTCCCTAACCACCTTTATCTCCACAGAGGGCTGGCCATCTCTTCCCCATTTTGCGATGCCCAGCGCAGCAGTCTGGGAGCTGACCTTGTTAGTGAAAACAGAGGCAAAAAAAGCATTGGCAAAAAAAGCATTTCTCCTACTATTGCTTGTACTAAGTGATCACTTTTGAAGAGACCTTGTTAAGAGGATGGTGGTGACGGGGGGAGGGGTAAAGGAAGAAAGAAAATGTTTATGTGTTGGATAGGTTTACTAGGGATCCTCTAACATTCAAAATATTTCAGGCAAACACTACTCCTATTATTAGGTAAGGCAGGAATTCACAAATACATGAACCACTTCTCCATGGAGAGAATGTCAGACACTTTTTTTCATTCACAACTATGACCTAATAACATCCCTGTGGCAACCACATCAACTGCTTACATGAAAAATAATTCATGCATTTCTAACTTCTTTCAATGCAAAGAACCAGTGTCATGTGACAGGCCAGTTCCTGCAGATCACAAGAAAGTGATCCACAGAGGACAGTTTGGGAAACACTAAGGAAAGGAATAACATGTATGAAACAAGAAAGCAACATGTCAAGACACATGCAGAAGATTTTGCTGGAGAAAAATTAGTGACCCCACAAGACGTTTGCATCAAAACCTATTTGCTGGACATCACGTGGGGGCATTCTATAAGAGAGCTTTAAACCAGAAGCATCCAGAGATTTTTTAAATACATTACACATTCACATGCCAAAGCATGACAACACAGAAGAGTGGCTTGTCTGAATCTATACCGGAAAAGAAGTTCAAGGGGTGTTCGAGACATCCATGCGTAACAAAAAAAGGCTCAAATTGGAGAACTCAAAGTGGATCAATAGAAAAAAAAATCCCAGTGACATACATAAAAAGAAATGAAAGTTTGTGTAGTAAGATAAGGGAACAGCATACAAATGCATTTAAACCTCTCACAGCACAACCAGAGAAGGGCTGTTGGTAACACAAACATCACTTTGCTGTACCCCTAATTCTGGTAAATAAAAAGAAGTGTTGAAAGTATTTTTCTGGATGGAATGCCACTGAATAAGCCGTGATACATAATGTTCATGTAATATGCTGTATTTTGTGGTTTAAAAATTTACCACAGTTAGTCCTTGTAACACTGAGTCACAGTGATTTATGACAGGTTTCAGAGTAGCAGCCGTGTTAGTCTGTATTCGCAAAAAGAAAAGGAGTACTTGTGGCACCTTAGAGACTAACCAATTTCTTTGAGCATGAGCTTTCGTGAGCTACAGCTCACTTCATCGGATGCATGCCGTGGAAACTGCAGCAGACTTTATTTATACACAGAGAATATGAAAAAATACCTCCTCCCACCCCACTGTCCTGCTGGTAATAGCTGATCTAAAGTGATCATCAGGTGGGCCATTTCCAGCACAAATCCAGGTTTTCTCACCCTCCACCCCCCCCCACAAATTCAATCACCAGCAGGAGAGTGAATTTGTGTGGGGGCGTGGAGGGTGAGAAAACCTGGATTTGTGCTGGAAATGGCCCACCTGATGATCACTTTAGATCAGCTATTACCAGCAGGACAGTGGGGTGGGAGGAGGTATTTTTTCATATTCTCTGTGTATAAATAAAGTCTGCTGCAGTTTCCATGGCATGCATCCGATGAAGTGAGCTGTAGCTCACGAAAGCTCATGCTCAAATAAATTGGTTAGTCTCTAAGGTGCCACAAGTACTCCTTTTCTTCTTACAGTGATTTATGGCTTTCCCACCTCTTGGCTAGATTTCTGCAGTGTCCGATATTTGGGGCTGACTATTAAGGTCACCTGGAAGTTACATACGATATATCATGCTGTGGCCCATCTGCCAAGCAGGAAAGGCTAATAGCACAGCAACACTTCATGCTTTGCACTGGTTTGCTTATTCAATTCCACATCTGAAAAACAATATAATGACAAGGATCTTTTATCATTAGTATTGCAGTAGTGCTCAGGAGCCACAGTCACAGACCAGGACTCCACTGGTAGGCACTGTGAAAACACAACAGTAAAGCTGTCCCAAAGAACTTATACCGTATTCTTCAGTGTTCTAAATGGACAGGGCCTAGCTATCTCAGTGGCCACCCATGTCCTTTAGCTCTAAAGCTATATTTACAGGAGCATTTTGACTGACAAAGCCCACGGAAGATTTTTAAGCGGTTGGGCAGAGAGTTCTTTGTAGGGGAGCCTGTGGCTGTGGAACCTGATTCTTTTCAAGTTCAACTGAGGGAGAATTTTGCCACCTTTAGAGCATGTTGCAAGACACAGCTTAATGCAGACATTTTTCTAATGGATGAGTGGAGCCCCCACCCTGTAACTCTACATGCATCCGACGAAGTGAGCTGTAGCTCACGAAAGCTCATGCTCAAATAAATTGGTTAGTCTCTAAGGTGCCACAAGTACTCCTTTTCTACTTTGACAGTGACAATCCCAGTACAAGGCTATGGTAGAGGAGGATAAGGTGGAGATCAAAACTCTGATACAGGGCATTCTTTGTTCTTGAAAAAGCAAAGAAAACACTTGAGTCTACATGTCAGTATGGATGATTTAAAAATTAATACCTTTCACAGCCACTGGAGGATTTCATGACATTTAGCAACTAGGAATTTTGTCAACAGTAAATTATACTCAACCGGACAGACTGCCTGTTCATCAGGAAACAACATTCTTTCCCTAGCAGTTAGTGGGTATACCAGAATGATTTTTTCCTTAACAGGGTTTCTTTACTAAGGGTATGTCTACACCAGAATTTTTACCATGAGTTAATCTACTGCCAATTTAACCATGGACACCAGAACAAACATTCTGGAGTTTCTGTACTAGCTTTTACAAATATATTAGCTACCTTGAGTTAACTGGCAATCAGTTAACTGGATGTAAAAAAAAACTCTAGTGTAGACAAGCCACGAGGTATCACAAGAATTACATATCCTATTTGCCAACCTTTACTAAATCTTCACTTATTAAAAGCAAACTTCATTTTATTTATTTTTTCAGTAGCAATCATTAGCTGAAAATATTTTCTAAATGTAAATGTTTTAATATATTCCACTAATTTCAAATAGCTCCCACATTACATCATCCCTATTCAAGCAGCCTTTCTGCTGCAACTTAAGAGGAAGAAAGAGCCTTGATTTGGACATTTTTATTTTATGCCTGGTCTACACTTAAAAGGTAATAATGATAAAGCTATTTGTTAAGGATATGGGCCTTTTTTGGTTGTTTGGTTTTAAAACATTCCTATTTCAGTATAAGCCCTAGACACGCCCTACAAGTTTTGCCACCAAAACCCAAATCACTCACCTAGACAACATATCTATCCATCCCAACCCCTGTGTTGATGCAGCTTATACAGCAGAACCTCAGAATTATGAGCACCAGAATTACAAACTGAACAGTCAACCACACACCTCATTTGGAACCAGAAGTACGCAATCAGGCAGCATCAGAGATGACAAAAAAGCAAATACAGTACAGTACTGTGTTAAACGTAAACTACTAAAAAAAAAAGGGAAAGCAGCATTTTTCTTCTGCATAGTAAAGTTTCAAAGTTGTATTAAGTCAATGTTCAGTTGTAAACCTTTGAAAGAACCACCATAATGTTTTGTTTAGAGTTATAACAACCTCCATTCCCCAGGTGTTCGTAACTCAGACTGTACTGTACAGGCAAGAGAATCATTTTTGTCATTCAGGGAGGTGGCTTAACTATAATAGCAAAACAATTCTTTTGTTGGTAAACACTGTCTCCACAAATGGACACTGCCGGTATAGCTATCCCAGGTAAGCCTTTGAAGTGTAGACTAACCCCTATTGTGTACATAGTTATATCGATATAACTGTGCTTATACCACTATAACTTGGCCAGGTTTCAGAGTAGCAGCCATGTTAGTCTGTATTCGCAAAAAGAAAAGGAGTACTTGTGGCACCTTAGAGACTAACCAATTTATTTGAGCATAACCTTTCGTGAGCTACAGCTCACTTCATCGGATGCATCCTGTTAGGATATAGATATTCAGGCCTGTCTGTAAAGGCCTATACTCTAAGCCCTGGTCTACACTAGGACTTTAGGTCGAATTTAGCAGCGTTAAATCCATTTAAACCTGCACCCGTCCACACAATGAAGCCCTTTATTTCGACTTAAAGGGCTCTTAAAATCGATTTCCTTACTCCACCCCTGACAAGTGGATTAGCGCTTAAATCGACGTTGCCGGCTCGAATTTGGGGTACTGTGGACACAATTCGATGGTATTGGCCTCCGGGAGCTATCCCAGAGTGCTCCATTATGACCGCTCTGGACAGCACTCTCAACTCAGATGCACTGGCCAGGTAGACAGGAAAAGAACCGCGAACTTTTGAATCTCATTTCCTGTTTGGCCAGCGTGGCAAGCTGCAGGTGACCATGCAGAGCTCATCAGCACAGGTGACCATGATGGAGTCCCAGAATCGCAAAAGAGCTCCAGCATGGACCGAACGGGAGGTACGGGATCTGATCGCTGTTTGGGGAGAGGAATCCGTGCTATCAGAACTCCGTTCCAGTTTTCGAAATGCCAAAACCTTTCTGAAAATCTCCCAGGGCATGAAGGACAGAGGCCATAACAGGGACCCGAAGCAGTGCCGCGTGAAACTGAAGGAGCTGAGGCAAGCCTACCAGAAAATCAGAGAGGCGAACAGCCGCTCTGGGTCAGAGCCCCAAACATGCCGCTTCTATGATGAGCTGCATGCCATTTTAGGGGGTTCAGCCACCACTACCCCAGCCGTGTTGTTTGACTCCTTCAATGGAGATGGAGGCGATACGGAAGTAGGTTTTGGGGACGAAGAAGATGATGATGAGGAGGTTGTAGATAGCTCACAGCAACCAAGCGGAGAAACCGGTTTTCCCGACAGCCAGGAACTGTTTCTCACCCTAGACCTGGAGCCAGTACCCCCCGAACCCACCCAAGGCTGCCTCCTGGACTCAGCAGGCGGAGAAGGGACCTCTGGTGAGTGTACCTTTTAAAATGCTATACATGGTTTAAAAGCAAGCATGTGAAAGGATTACTTTGCCCTGGCATTTGCGGTTCTGCCTTTGCAAAAGGTTTCTGGGGAGGGCAGCCTTATTTCGTCCTTCATGGTAGGACACTTTACCACTCCAGGCCAGTAACACGTACTCGGGAATCACTGTAGAACAAAGCATTGCAGTGTATGTTTGCTGGCATTCAACCAAAATCCGTTCACGCGGTGGGAGGAGGCAAAATGCGACCTTGTAACGAAAGCACATGTGCTATGTATGTAATGTTAACAGCAAGGTTTACCCTGAAAGAGTGTAGCCACTGTTTTATAAAATGTGTCTTTTTAAATACCGCTGTCCCTTTTTTTTTCTCCACCAGCTGCATGTGTTTCAATGATCACAGGATCTTCTCCTTCCCAGAGGCTAGTGAAGCTTAGAAAGAAAAAAAAACGCACTCGCAATGAAATGTTCTCCGAGCTCATGCTGTCCTCCCACACTGACAGAGCACAGACGAATGCGTGGAGGCAAATAATGTCAGAGTGCAGGAAAGCACAAAATGACTGGGAGGAGAGGTGGAGGGCTGAAGAGAGTAAGTGGCGGGCTGAAGAGAGTAAGTGGCGGGCTGAAGACAGGGCTGAAGCTCAAATGTGGCAGCAGAGTGATGAGAGGAGGCAGGATTCAATGCTGAGGCTGCTGCAGGACCAAACCAGTATGCTCCAGTGTATGGTTGAGCTGCAGCAAAGGCAGCTGGAGCACAGACTGCCACTGCAGCCCCTCTGTAACCAACCGCCTTCCTCCCCAAGTTCCATAGCCTCCACACCCAGACGCCCAAGAACGCGGTGGGGGGGCCTCCGGCCAACCAGCCACTCCACCAGAGAGGATTGCCCAAAAAAAAGAAGGCTGTCATTCAATAAATTTTAAAGTTGTAAACTTTTAAAGTGCTGTGCTTAAAGTGCTGTGTGGCATTTTCCTTCCCTCCTCCACCACCCCTCCTGGAATACCTTGGTAGTCATCCCCCTATTTGTGTGATGAATGAATAACGAATGCATGACTGTGAAGCAGCAATCACTTTATTGGCTCTGCAAGCAATGATTAAAGGGAGGAGGGGAGGGTGGTTAGCTTACAGGGAAGTAGAGTGAACCAAGGGGCGGGGGGTTTCATCAAGGAGAAACAAACAGAACTTTCACACCGTAGCCTGGCCAGTCATGAAACTGGTTTTCAAAGCTTCTCTGATGCGTACCGCGCCCTCCTGTGCTCTTCTAACCGCCCTGGTGTCTGGCCGCGCGTAACCAGCAGCCAGGCGATTTGCCTCAACCTCCCACCCCGCCATAAACGTCTCCCCCTTACTCTCAGATATTGTGGAGCACACAGCAAGCAGTAATAACAGGGGAATATTGGTTTCGCTGAGGTCTAAGCGAGTCAGTAAACTGCGCCAGCGCGCCTTTAAACGTCCAAATGCACATTCTACCACCATTCTGCACTTGCTCAGCCTGTAGTTGAACAGCTCCTGACCACTGTCCAGGCTGCCTGTGTATGGCTTCATGAGCCATGGCATTAAGGGGTAGGCTGGGTCCCCAAGGATACATATAGGCATTTCAACATCCCCAACAGTTATTTTCTGGTCTGGGAATAAAGTCCCTTCCTGCAGCTTTTGAAACAGACCAGAGTTCCTGAAGATGCGAGCATCATGCACCTTTCCCGGCCATCCCACGTTGATGTTGGTGAAACGTCCCTTGTGATCCACCAGAGCTTGCAGCACTATCGAAAAGTACCCCTTGCGGTTTATGTACTCGGCGGCTTGGTGCTCCGGTGCCAATATAGGGATATGGGTTCCGTCTATAGCCCCACCAGAGTTAGGGAATCCCATTGCAGCAAAGCCATCCACTATGACCTGCACATTTCCCAGGGTCACTACCCTTGATATCAGCAGATCTTTGATTGCGTGGGCTACTTGCATCACAGCAGCCCCCACAGTAGATTTGCCCACTCCAAATTGATTCCCAACTGACCGGTAGCTGTCTGGTGTTGCAAGCTTCCATAGGGCTATCGCCACTCGCTTCTCAACTGTGAGGGCTGCTCTCATCTTGGTATTCATGCGCTTCAGGGCAGGGGAAAGCAAGTCACAAAGTTCCATGAAAGTGCCCTTACGCATGCGAAAGTTTCGCAGCCACTGGGAATCGTCCCAGACCTGCAACACTATGCGGTCCCACCAGTCTGTGCTTGTTTCCCGAGCCCAGAATCGGCGTTCCACAGCATGAACCTGCCCCATTAGCACCATGATGCATGCATTGTCAGGGCCCATGCTTTCAGAGAAATCTGTGTCCATGTCCTGATCACTCACGGGACTGCGCTGACATCGCCTCCTCGCCCGGTATCGCGTTGCCATGTTCTGGTGCTGCATATACTGCTGAATAATGCGTGTGGTGGTTAATGTGCTCCTAATTGCCAAAGTGAGCTGAGCGGGCTCCATGCTTGCAGTGGTATGGCGTCTGCACAGGTAACTCAGGAAAAAAGGCACGAAATGATTGTCTGCCCTTGCTTTCACGGGGGGGGGGAGGGAGGGAGGGAACGGGGGGCTGACGATATGTACCCAGAACCACCCACGACAATGTTTTAGCCCCATCAGGCATTGGGATCTCAACCCAGAATTCCAATGGGCAGCGGAGACTGCGGGAACTGTGGGATAGCTACCCACAGTGCAACGCTCCGGAAGTCGACGCTTGCCTCGGTACTGTGGAAGCGCTCCGCCGAGTTAATGCACTTAGAGCATTTTCTGTGGGGACACACACACTCGAATATATAAAACCGATTTCTAAAAAACCGACTTCTATAAATTCGACTTAATTTCGTAGTGTAGACATACCCTAAGAATTTAGGTGTATTCTTATCACTTGGCTAGTGATAGAGGTATAAAAGAAAGAATCAAAATCACTGTCTGCTGGTGTAAGGGCCTTCTCTTACTGTGACAGTCTGAGGCCCTGTTCTTAGGCTAAGGCCTTTGGCTAAGCAGCAGAGGCAGCCATAAGCTGGGAAGCAAACAATCACATCCTCACATTCCAAACTAGTCACACTGAAATAAGGTGCTATTCGGCTGTTAGGAATACAATCCTGTCCTGATAGTTCCTATCACCTCCAGAGAAAGGGAAGTGCCTAGAAAATGTAAAAGGAAACTTAGTTTGATAGCATCCTGTCTGGCAAGAACTCACTTATCAATAGCTGGGATGTGAAATCCTCATTTCTGTATTGTCTTGTCATTATAGTTCCCACTTTGCTGTTGTTTGTCTGTATAATCTCTGTCTGGTTCTGTGATTGTTCCTGTCTGCTGTATAATTAATTTTGCTGGGTGTAAACTAATTAAGGTGGTGGGATATAATTGGTTACATAATCATGTTACAATATGTTAGGATTGGTTAGTTAAATTTCAGGAAAATGATTGGTTAAGGTATAGCTAAGCAGAACTCAAGTTTTACTATGTAATCTGTAGTCAATGAGGAAGTGACTGGGTGTGGGTGGGGGTGGGCATGGGGGTAAGGGAGATGGGAACAGGGAATGTGGGTAAGAAAATTGGAATCATGTTTTGCTAAAGGGGGAAATGGGAACAGGGAATGGGAGTAAGGAAGTTGGAATCATGTTTGGCTAAGGGTAGGAATGGGAACAGGGACACAGGTGTAAGGCTCTGTGGTGTCAGAGCTGGGAAGGAGGATACTAAGGAAGGAAACTGGAATCATGCTTGCTGGAAGTTCACCCCAATAAACATCGAATTGTTTGCACCTTTGGACTTCGGGTATTGTTGCTCTCTGTTCATGCGAGAAGGACCAGGGAAGTAAGTGGGTGAAGGAATAAGCCCCCTAACACATCCGATGAAGTGATCTGTAGCTCACGAAAGCTTATGCTCAAATAAATTGGTTAAGGTGCTACTAGTACTCCTTTTCACTATAACTTTGCAAGTTCCAGAAACTGATATAAGCTACACTGGTGTAACTGCATAAAAATTAGGAGGGTTTTACTGATTCAGTTATTCTGGTATAATTATACCTTCAAAACCCTCCCAGTATGGGCAAGCCCTTAGCTTTGAATTTAGTGCTCATGCAAGGCACACCAATTGACAGCCCTAGAAGGTTCTCTGTTTATCCACAGAATAGGTACAACTAAAGTAATAGAACTGCAAACTTCCCTAGTAACACTTCCTCAGCCGTGTGCTTACAAAGTGTTATCAGCTCATGATTTTATTGAGAGTCTAACAATATTTGTTGTTTTTCTGAAAGCTGCAGTTCCTAGAATCATGGCGTTGCGTGGAAAAAAAAAATCACACTTTTAGAAAATTTAGAAGTTTCTAGTCTTCTCAAAAAGAAAAGGAGTACTTGTGGCACCTTAGAGACTAACCAATTTATTTGAGCATGAGCTTTCGTGAGCTACAGCTCACTTCATCGGAAGAATACTGTGGAAACTGCAGAAGACATTATATACACAGAGACCATGAAACAATACCTCCTCCCACCCCACTCTCCTGCTGGTAATAGCTTATCTAAAGTGATCATCAAGTTGGGCCATTTCCAGCACAAACCCAGGTTTTCTCACCCTCCGCCCCCCCCCCACACAAACTCACTCTCCTGCTGGTTGGGAGGAGGTATTGTTTCATGGTCTCTGTGTATATAATGTCTTGTTCAGTTTCCACAGTATGCATCCGATGAAGTGAGCTGTAGCTCACGAAAGCTCATGCTCAAATAAATTGGTTAGTCTCTAAGGTGCCACAAGTACTCCTTTTCTTTTTGCGAATACAGACTAACACGGCTGTTACTCTGAAACTAGTCTTCTCAGTTGTTAATAATAAATTTGCTCAACTTTTTATATATATATATATATATATATAGTGTTCTTTTGATCTCTGATCATGATTTTTTGGACCTCACTCATGATTCTTGAACCCTTGGGGTTCGCTATGCTAATTATGCCCTGACCTGGAAAAATAACCCACTTCATGGGGGGATGAGAGTAGTTCTATTTCCATAGACTGTATACACAAAGGTGTAAATTGTCATGGTGGTTTCTGTAAGATGAACATCTGTCCACTGGGAACTGAGCTGACACTTCCAACACCATCCAGTGGTAACTTTTGGTCACTGTGAATAGACCCAGGCCAGATTTGAACTGGCCACTTACTACAAGCAGCTCTCTAGCTCCCCTAAACCATCTAGTCTCCTCTGTATGGACACGTCTAATTAAAATGAAATTAAGAATGTTTATACTAGAGCAAACAAAACGGAGAAGTATAATTATCCATAATTATCCTGTTTTATTTTTACTTTCACTGTTTAAGAGTATTTGTTTTTGCATATATTTCAGCAAGATAATCAAAACATTTCGTGCTCTCTCTCTCTCTCTCACACACACAAATTCCTCCTCTGAAGGAGACCCTGTATGCCCCAAACACACCAAGTTGAAACAAAGCGTAGATCCAAAGGGATGGTTGAGACATGTTCTCACTTTAAAAACAATATGAAAAGACGGCAATTAAAGCTGAACAAGTACTTCTGCTTCTTCAATATGGAGAGTCTGACACATTTAAGCCAGACACACGTTTCCCCTAAGAAAGCACCCACCCTGTCAGATCCCCAGATCCTAGTGGTAGACGGTGAGAGCAAAGGGTAGACTGTCGGCTGACAAGTGCCTGCGATATATTTTAGCTCCATTTTATTTCTTAATTATTTTATGTCTAACACTGACAGACACCGAGAGACTCCCAGCGGCCGTGGGCGAGGTTGCGAAGGGTCTCTACTAGCTTCTCCCTCCCTCCTCGCAGCAGCAAGAGAGGCAGCCTTGTTCCCCCCGCCCCTCCCCAGGTACAACAGCACCTGCCCCAGGAGACACCTAGGGCAAGAGGGGAGCCCCCGCAATCGACACAGACCCACCGCCTCCTCTCCTCGCCCCACTCCCTTTGCCCTTCCCACACACACCGCCCCAATTCCCCGAAACCGCCTCCAGCGCCCGCAGCCCTGCGCCTTCTCCAACGGCTCCCCGCCCCCAGCCCGGCCGCCCCAACCCCCTAAACCGCCTCCAGCGCCCGCAGCCCTGCGCCTTCTCCAACGGCTCCCCGCCCCCAGCCCCCTAACCGCCTCCAGCGCCCGCAGCCCTGCGCCTTCTCCAACGGCTCCCCGCCCCCAGCCCCTAAACCGCCTCCAGCGCCCGCAGCCCTGCGCCTTCTCCAACGCCCCCGCCCCCAGCCCCCTAAACCGCCTCCAGCGCCCGCAGCCCTGCGCCTTCTCCAACGGCTCCCCGCCCCCAGCCCCCTAAACCGCCTCCAGCGCCCGCAGCCCTGCGCCTTCTCCAACGGCTCCCCGCCCCCAGCCCCCTAAACCGCCTCCAGCGCCCGCAGCCCTGCGCCTTCTCCAACGGCTCCCCGCCCCCAAGCCCCCTAAACCGCCTCCAGCGCCCGCAGCCCTGCGCCTTCTCCAACGGCTCCCCACTCCCTCTTCCGCAGGCCCCTCAGTCACCCCACACGCCCGCTCCGGCGGGAAACCCGACCGACCTCTCACCTGCACTTTCCGGCGCCCGGCCGCGTTCTGTCGGTGATGCGCCGCCATCTTGCATGTTGACACTCTCACGTCATTTCCGAAGAGGTCGACCCGGCCCGGAAATCCCGCCCCCTGGCCGCGAGAGCCGCGCGGGGCCGCTCGGTTGCTAAGGGAGCTCAGTGGGTAGACTGGACTCTGGCCGCTAGCCTCGGGGGGCGTCAAGCTGTCCCGCCGGCTCCCAGTCACGGGGCTGAGGAGATACTCGCCCCGTCACGGTGCCCTGCGGCCGCGTCCCCTCCCGCCGCCCGGTTACGGTGCCTTGAGGCCGCGTGCCTCCTGACCTGCCACGGTGCCTTCTCTCGCCCTAACCCAGCCCATTACAGTCACTGAGGCCACGTCCTGTGCCCTGTCTCCTGCCTTGGTGTTCTGAGGTACTGGGCCCCGTCTCCTGCCCCGGTGCTCTGAGGCCCCCTGCCCTGCCTCCTTCCCCAAGGCCGCGTGCCCTGCCTTTTGCCCCGGTGCTCTGAGGCCCCCTGCCCTGCCTCCTTCCCCAAGGCCGCGTGCCCTGCCTTTTGCCCCGGTGCTCTGAGGCCCCCTGCCCTGCCTCCTTCCCCAAGGCCGCGTGCCCTGCCTTTTGCCCCGGTGCTCTGAGGCCCCGTGCCCTGCCTCCTTCCCCAAGGCCGCGTGCCCTGCCTTTTGCCCCGGTGCTCTGAGGCCCCGTGCCCTGCCTCCTTCCCCAAGGCCGCGTGCCCTGCCTTTTGCCCCGGTGCTCTGAGGCCCCGTGCCCTGCCTCCTTCCCCAAGGCCGCGTGCCCTGCCTTTTGCCCCGGTGCTCTGAGGCCCCCTGCCCTGCCTCCTTCCCCAGGCCGCTGCCCTGCCTTTTGCCCCGGTGCTCGGAGGCCCCTGCCCTGCCTCCTTCCCCAAGGCCGCGTGCCCTGCCTTTTGCCCCGGTGCTCGGAGGCCCCCTGCCCTGCCTCCTTCCCCAAGGCCGCGTGCCCTGCCTTTTGCCCCGGTGCTCTGAGGCCCCCTGCCCTGCCTCCTTCCCCAAGGCCGCGTGCCCTGCCTTTTGCCCCGGTGCTCTGAGGCCCCGTGCCCTGCCTCCTTCCCCAAGGCCGCGTGCCTTGCTTCCTGCCCCGCCCCGCCCCGGTGCCCCGAGGCTGCATCACCTCCCCTTTTCAGCCTCATCACAGTGCCCTTAAGCCAAGTCCCCCTGCCACCCACTCCCAGTGCCGTGAGGCCGCCATCTCATCTCTGCCATAAGCATGGAGCCCACTATTCATATGAAAGTTGCAAATACAGGATGAAAAATTCTCCTGTATTTGTAGACCTGCAGGAAGAACCGCAAGAATGGGGGACATGACAAGTTCTTCGAGGATAGATTGTTGAAACAGTGAAAAACAATTCAAGGTTGTTGGTGGTGTTCACAGAGTGGCTGGAGATGGTGGGAGCATTGCTATTGGGCTTGAGAAATGAGCACTGACTCGATGGATCACATTGTAATGCAGGTTTGGGATGATGAGTAGTGGCTGCAGAATTTTCAGATGTGAAAGGTCACAATTCTGCATCAGTGTTCCAAGCTCGCTGTAGCCCTCTAGTGCAGGGACACCAGAAAGAGAGCTGCACTGATTTAAGAAATGAGTGGCAATTGCATTCTAGAAGCTTTCAGTGCTGAATTGCTACTGATCAGAGGGAAATCATTTTGCAGTTGGCAAATCCACAGTGGGGGTCTGTCAAGGTTCCTCCCCCACTCTGAAGTCTAGGGTACAGATGTGGGGACCTGCATGAAAAACCTCCTAAGCTTATCTTTACCAGCTTAGGTCAAAACTTCCCCAAGGTACAAAATATTCCACCCGTTGTCCTTGGACTGGCCGCTACCACCACCAAACTAATACTGGTTACTGGGGAAGAGCTGTTTGGACGCGTCCTTCCCCCCAAAATACTTCCCAAAACCTTGCACCCCACTTCCTGGACAAGGTTTGGTAAAAAGCCTCACCAATTTGCATAGGTGACCACAGACCCGAACCCTTGGATCTGAGAACAATGAAAAAGCATTCAGTTTTTTACAAGAAGACTTTTAATAAAAAATAGAAGTAAATAGAAATAAAGAAATCCCCCCTGTAAAATCAGGATGGTAGATATCTTACAGGGTAATTAGATTCAAAAACATAGAGAACCCCTCTAGGCAAAACCTTAAGTTACAAAAAAGATACACAGACAGAAATAGTTATTCTATTCAGCACAATTCTTTTCTCAGCCATTTAAAGAAATCATAATCTAACACATACCTAGCTAGATTACTTACTAAAAGTTCTAAGACTCCATTCCTGGTCTATCCCCGGCAAAAGACCCAGCATACAGACAGACACAGACCCTTTGTTTCTCTCCCTCCTCCCAGCTTTTGAAAGTATCTTGTCTCCTCATTGGTCATTTCGGTCAGGTGCCAGCGAGGTTACCTTTAGCTTCTTAACCCTTTACAGGTGAGAGGAGCTTTCCCCTGGCCAGGAGGGATTTCTAAGGGGTTTACCCTTCCCTTTATATTTATGACAGGGTCATTGTCATGTAAGTGTGTACGGCCATTAATAGCGTCTTGTTGCACAGGGCTGTGTCTCTCAGCAGTGTGCAGGACGTGGTGGATGGATTTGCAATAATGGGATTCCCTAACTGCAGTGGGGGGATAGACAGCATGTATATCCCTATTTTGGCACCAGACTACCTGGCCACAGAATACATTAACAGAAAGGGCTGCTTTTCTGTGGTTATGCAAGTGTTGGTGGAGCACCAGAGATGTTTCACCAAAAGCAGTGTGGACTGATTAGGGAAAGTGCATAATGCTTGTATCTTTAAGACAACAGGGCTGTTCAGAAAGCAACAAGCAGTGATATTCTTTCCTGACTGCAGATTACCATTGGCAATATTTACTCTTGGGGGAATTCTGCGCCAAAAAGTTAAAAATTCTGCACACAATATTTTTAAATTCTGCATATTTTATTTGTCAAAATAACACAATATAATCACACCAGTTTCAATTATTTTGGTAATTTATTTCAAAATACCTGTCAGCAAGTATGTCTGTAACAATACAGACAACAAAAAAGATTAAAGAAATTGTTTTTTGGCCAATAGATTCCTTACTAGGCATATTAATACAGAAGTCTGAGTAATAATTCATTAAACCTACAATACAGAACTGTATTTTCTGTACCTCTCAGAACCAGTGGAAAGGCGTAGGGGTGTCAGGGGTAACAAAGGAGCTGAGAGAGAGGGAAATAATTGCTGGGAAGGAACCTAGGTGTGAACTTGGAGGGTTGTTGGGTATGGGTGGGAAAAGTAAGGAACAGTTGTTTTGAGGCGGGTGGGGAGGGATTGTTAGGGAGCTTCCCCCATGCAGATGACCCTTAGCCTCTCGCATTCAGTCAGGCACATCTGCCCCTGTACCCATGTGTCCCTCCACCCCGATTCAGACACCTTTTCCCCCCATCCCCTTGTGTCCCTTCATCCCTCCCCCTGTCCCCATGTGTCTCTGTGCCCCCACTCAGCTATCCCCTTTTCCCCATGTGGCCCTGCACCTTGTCCCCCCGTAGCCCTGCACCCTCTCAGCCAGACCCCTCCCTTCATCTCCATGTGTCCCCTGCACCCCCTCCCCTGTCCCCATGTGGCCTGCACCTCCCTCGCCCCTGTGGCCCTGTGCCTCCACTCCCATTCCACCCCTGCCCCAGTCTGTCTTCCTTCACTAGCCCTTATGAACCCCAGTCTGTGACCCCCATGCAGCACCATGCTGTCAGTCTCACCATGTCCCCTGTCTTTTGACCTGGCTTGACAGGCTCTGTGATGAAGGCACTGCAAGTTCTTTTTCTTCCCTATGGTAACTGGGGCTGGTGGGGAGCAGCTGCTTTGTTCCAGCACCACAGCACCCTCTGGTGGGCAAAAGATAGAACTGAAGCAACTTTTGGCAGAAGTTATTTTCTGTGGAAAGAAAAGTATGTGTGGCATATGAATTATGCGCACGCAGTGGCGCAGAATTCCCCCAGGAGTAAATATTGAAATGTCAATAGTGATCCTGTCTCTTGCTTCCTAGGGTCATGAAGCCATACACTGGCCACCTTGACAGCACCAAGAAAAGATTCAGCTACTGGCTCAAGAGGTGCACAATAGATGTGTAGAGTGAAAGGATGCTGGTGTTGTTTAGTCAAAAGATTGTCTCTCAGTGAGAAAAATATCTCAGTAGTTATAGCTGCCTGTTGTGTCATGCATAATATCTATAAGGGAAAGTGAGAAAAGTTGCTGCTGGAGTGAAAGGCAGCGGTGGAGTGGCTGTCTGCTGAGTTTGAAGCACCAGACACAAGGCCTTTACAAGAGTCAGCTGTGGGAGGCTTTGAAAGAGCCCTTTAATGGTCAGCTGCATTAATGTACTATACTTGACTGTGCTCTGAATCTGAAGGTTGTGGCTGGGAGGAATTGTGTAGTGCTTGTTGTACATTTATACATAGAATACTGTGTCTTTTAATAAACCTATAAATTATTTGGTGCTTGCTGTACATTTATAATTATTATATCAAGTGTGTCACTGAACCTATGAATTATGCAGTGCTTGCTGAACTTTTACAGATGAGTAGGTGTTTTCTTGAACCTGTGTGTTCTGTGATGCGGTATACTTACAAGTACTGGGTGCTTCTAGTACTTCTATACATTCTGCAATATTTGTGGTGAACTAATAAAGATTGATTTATTTTCAAAAATTAAAATGTTATTTAGTAATAAAAGGAGTGGAAAAAACAGAACAATGTACAAATGAAAAAGAATAATACAATAGAAATTTCTAACGTAAATTAACAGGATGGAACTTTAAAATTAAAGAGGCAGCAAACATTTTTGTCCATTCCAGTGCACAAATGGAGTCCACTTTGGCTACACTTACACTGGCCTGTGAGAGGCATGGTTGGGGTATGTGAAGCTCTGGTTGTCCTTAGTATCCTCAGGCATGGAGAAGTAGGGAGTGTGATCCATGATACCACATGGAATGTTGAGGGGGTTCAGGGAGCTGCAATCATGGAGTTCTCCAGGAACTGTAAAGGGTGATAAGTCCATGATTGTTTTACCTGTAGTTCAACTAGACTCTCCAGTATTAGTATTTGCTGCCTAAGAAGCCCCATTATGTCTTGGTGCAACTCCCATTTCTTTTCCTGTGGGTTTCCTGGGTCTTCATTTTCTCCTGTAGTCTCTGTCCCTCTCCAGGCCATCTGCCTTTTTGGCCGGCCCAGCCCTTTGTTCACAGTCCAATGCAAAACTGGCTTGCAGGATCTCACTAAACATATTCGTAGTCCTATTCTTTCTCCTCCTCCTCAGGTTCAGGTGTTCTGCTGGTGTGGAGGGGCATCCCCAAAGGCCACAACAGCAGCAGCTGCAGATAAAACAGACAGATCTATTGGATTTACAGCCACATCAGAAAGTGAAAGATAAGTTTTTAAAACTCTTCCCTTATTCACCCAGAATTTTTTAATAAAGCATGCTTATTGAAACTTCAGTTTTGGAATGTCTTTGCACAGCACTACCCTCCCCACCCAGTATGGGGGCTGGCCTAGGTGCATGCCCTCCGGAATGTTTCCCCTCATCCCCCAGGGGGGTATGCCCCACAGTTTGGAGCCCACTGGACTAGATGATTAGAATGGTCTGTTCTGCCCTTGAAATGTATAAATATATGATTTTTCCTGCAATTTCTCCATGAACAAGACACTTATTAAAATTGTATTTTGCACTATTTTTAGAAGGTTTAAAACCTGAAACCTGTAGTAAGATACATGCATGTACACCCTTGTACCTGCCCAAAGTCCCATAAACGTCACTGGGGCTCCACACATGAAGGGTAAATTAATACGCTATGTACTGTTCTTAGGGAAGGCAATGTTGAAGCATGCTTTGCATTTGCCTTGAAACATAGGGGGAGTTGTGGTAATAAGACTGGTACCTAAAAGATTTCCTATCTTGAGTTGAGTTACATGTTGCTCATTACAGTAGCATCTGAGCATCTTACAACTGTTAATGTATTTATTGTCACAACATCTCTGAGAGATAGGAAAGTGCTATTATCCCCATTTTAAAGATAGGCACAAAGATACCAAGTTACTTTCCCCTGGTCACACAGGAAGCCTGTGTCAGAGCAGGGAATTGAGCTCAGATCTCCCAAGTTTCAGACTAGTGCTCATTACAACCATACATCCTCTCATATTATCCTGGGCTCAGGTCATGTAGTACTGTGAAATAAGGACCAAGTCTGTAAACTTAATGTGATACTCTATTGGAAGCCAGTGAAGAGATTGAAGCACCAGGATACTGTATTGGTGGTAATCTGTGCCCTCAGTGAGGCATGCTGTTGCATTCTTTACCCACTGCAGTTTACTCAAGGCTTATGTTTTTGAGCCCAAGTAAAGTGCATTGCTATAATCCATTTGGGAGGTATTCTTATGACCAGGTCAGTGGTAGCAAGAATGGGACAAAATCTTCCTAATTGTTTGGTGATGATAGAAAAAGTGTCATACATGCTTTTTTTGCAAGAACTTTGTGTCTGGGAGGAGGCTAGAAAGACTGCCAAGATGTGGACTGTCTTGATGTTCTGTGGGCATGCATTGTCGACTGGAGAGAGCTGCAACTTGATGGCCAGCTGTTTGAAGTGTTAACCTCTGTCTTGTTGGGATTCAATTTCAATAAGCTCTACCTGAGCCATGTGCTAATATTGGCCAGTCACTGGGAAAACGGGATGACCATATTGTTAGCCTATGTTGAAAATGACAAATTTGGGTCATTTTCATGTTGTTGACATTATAGCCCATGAAGTCTTCCCATTTCTCCCATTGGCTAAATGTAAATACTTACTGAAATTGGGGAGAGAATTAATCCATGTGGTTCTCCACAAATGAAAAATCTGGTAGCAAAGGTAGCTTCTGTATGTGACTCTCAAGAAAGGATTCATATAATTAGAGAGCATTTCTTTGGAGCACTGTCATTTCCCTCAGATGGGATAATAATGTCTTGCAGTCAGACATAATGAATATTGCAGAGAGGTCCAGGAGTGAGACAATGGACATTTGTTCTTTATATGTAGTAAGAGATCTTCCATTAGCAGTAACAGTACTGTTTCTGTTCTGTATCCTGGCCAAAACCAGACTATGTTAGATCGTTTCCTTATCCCCCAAACAGAAAAGGAAGGACAAGGTTTAGCATTTTTGATAAACTTCTTTTTTCTCTGCAAGGAAAAGATCAGCCTCCTTTAAAAAAATCTTAGTGATACAAAAAAGGGCACTTGGTAGGCATGCAGATTTTAAAATGTTGTCCAGAGATTTTTTCAAACTGCAAATATTTACATCAACAATTGCTGTGGTACTACATCCAGTGAGGTATCTTGCATCTCACACAGAAGTATATTTCAACAAGCCACATGAGTCATAGGCACTCAGCACAATGATGTACACAGTATGAAAACAGATGCATGTTACTTATCTAGGAACTTTAATTTTGTAACATTTAAAGGGCCTTTTGTTTGTTTGCTTGTTTCTAGACTTTTGCAGGTATAATATAACCTTTTTAACAGTGTAACTTTTAAGTGCCAAGGACACTGGCAGTTTTCCTGACATTGACAGAACATTATCATTCTCCCTTTTAACACAGAAACAGACCTTAAACATTTTCTGACCTCATCTGGCTATTTCATAAAAGATAATTAAATGTACATATGTATATCTAGTGTATATCAAATCTTCTTGATTTGATAATTTAACATTGTGTTTCTTTTTCTTTCATTTTAAAGATGTTGGAGTTGCCGGTGTTTTAAAGTCTCCGTCATTGTTGAGAATCATTCGCTTGGTGCGGATTAGCCAAATCCTGAGACTAATATGGCAAGCCCAAGGAATTAGAACTCTCCTTTTTACATTATTGATGTCCCTTCCTGCTCTGTTCAATATTGGTGTCCTACTTTTTCTGATCATGTATATTTATGCTATTTTGGGCATGGCTTACTTCGCCTGTGCTAATTGGGTGGGATTGATAACATTTTCAACTTCCAAACCTTTGGTGGCAGCATGCTCTGTCTCTTCCAGATCACAATGTCAGCCGGCTGAGATGGTCTTCTTAACCCTTTCGTAGGGACAAGATTTGACTCTTGTGCTCCAAAGTTAAAGATAAGGAGTACTTGTGGCACCTTAGAGACGAACCAATTTATTTGAGCATAAGCTTTCGTGAGCTACAGCTCACTTCATCGGATGCATTCTGTGGGGATATTCTATCTACTACCCAAGATCCATAAACCTGGAAATCCTGGGCGCCCCATCATCTCAGGCATTGGCACCCTGACAGCAGGATTGTCTGGCTATGTAGACTCCCTCCTCAGGCCCTACACTACCAGCACTCCCAGCTACCTTCGAGACACCACTGACTTCCCGAGGAAACTACAATCCATCGATGATCTTCCTGATAACACCATCCTGGCCACTATGGATGTAGAAGCCCTCTACACCAACATTCCACACAAAGATGGACTACAAGCCGTTAAGAACACTATCCTCGATAATGTCACGGCTAACCTGGTGACTGAACTTTGTGACTTTGTCCTTACCCATAACTATTTTACATTTGGGGACAATGTATACCTTCAGATCAGCGGCACTGCTATGGGTACCCGCATGACCCCACAGTATGTCAACATTTTTATGGCTGACTTAGAACACCGCTTCCTCAGCTCTCGTCCCCTAACACCTCTACTCTACTTGCGCTATATTAATGACATCTTCATCATCTGGACCCATGGAAAAGAAGCCCTTGAGGAATTCCACCATGATTTCAACAATTTCCATCCCACCATCAACCTCAGCCTGATCCAGTCCACACAAGAGATCCACTTCCTGGACACTACAGTGCTAATAAACAATGGTCACATAAACACCACCCTATACCGGAAACCTACTGACCGCTATTCCTACCTACATGCCTCCAGCTTTCACCCTGACCACACCACACGATCCATCGTCTACAGCCAGGCTCTGCGATACAACTGCATTTGCTCCAACCCCTCAGACAGAGACAGACACCTACAAGATCTCTATCAAGCTTTCTTACAACTACAATACCCACCTGCGGAAGTGAAGAAACCGATTGATAGAGCCAGAAGAGTTCCCAGAAGTCACCTACTACAGGACAGGCCTAACAAAGAAAATAACAGAATGCCACTAGCCGTCACCTTCAGCCCCCAACTAAAACCCCTCCAACGCATTATTAAGGATCTACAACCTATCCTGAAGGATGACCCAACACTCTCACAAATCTTGGGAGACAGGCCAGTCCTTGCCTACAGACAGCCCCCCAACCTGAAGCAAATACTCACCAGCAACCACATACCACACAACAGAACCACTAACCCAGGAACCTATCCTTGCAACAAAGCCTGTTGCCAGCTGTGCCCACATATCTATTCAGGGGACACCATCACAGGGCCTAATCACATCAGCCACACTATCAGAGGCTCGTTCACCTGCACATCCACCAATGTGATATATGCCATCATGTGCCAGCAATGCCCCTCTGCCATGTACATTGGTCAAACTGGACAGTCTCTATGTAAAAGAATAAATGGACACAAATCAGATGTCAAGAATTATAACGTTCATAAACCAGTCGGAGAACACTTCAATCTCTCTGGTCACGCGATTACAGACATGAAAGTCGCTATTTTACAACAAAAAAACTTCAAATCCAGACTCCAGCGAGAAACTGCTGAATTGGAATTCATTTGCAAATTGGATACAATTAACTTAGGCTTGAATAGAGACTGGGAGTGTCTAAGTCATTATGCAAGGTAGCCTATTTCCCCTTGTTTTTTCCTACGCTCCCCCCCCAGACGTTCTTGTTAAACCCTGGATTTGTGCTGGAAATGGCCCACCTTGATTATCATACACATTGTAAGGAGAGTGATCACTTGAGATAAGCTATTACCAGCAGGAGAGTGGGGTGGGGGGAGGTATTTTTTCATGCTTTGTGTGTATATAAAAAGATCTTCTACACTTTCCACAGAATGCATCCGACGAAGTGAGCTGTAGCTCACGAAAGCTTATGCTCAAATAAATTGGTTAGTCTCTAAGTGCCACAAGTACTCCTTTTCTTTTTGCGAATACAGACTAACACGGCTGTTACTCTGAAAGTTAAAGATACAACCTAGAGACAATACTACTTGTGTAAATAGCTCTGTAGCAATTATATATTTTGTAAGTTATGTCATTATATCATTTCTTATTGTTATAAACATTTATATAGCTGTTATTTTAGAGAACTTGAATTTTGCTACTGAGGAAAGTACGGAGCCTTTATGTGAAGATGACTTTGATATGTTTTATGAAATATGGGGGAAGTTTGATTCTGAGGCGACTCAGTTTATTGAGTATTCTGCACTTTCAGACTTTGCAGATGCTTTGGAAAAACCCTTACGTGTATCAGAACCCAACAAAATTCAGCTTATAGCAATGGACCTCCTATAGTTAGTGGAGATAGGATCTACTACTGGGATATTTTGCTTGCTTTTATCAAACAGGAGAATCTGGGGAGATGGACAAACTAATGATGGAGAAAAAGCTTAAGATTGCCATTCCATCCAAGCTTCCTTATAAACCAATCACAACTACCCTTAGAAGAAGACAAAAGGAGCTTTCTGCCATTATTATCCAAAGGGCCTTCCAGTCCCATTTGATTCAGTGTTCTGTGAAACAGGCCTCTTTTTCATACCAACACAGAAAGTGATCAGGAACAGTCAGCATGGATTCACCAAGGGCAAGTCAAGCCTGACTAATCTAATTGCCTTCTATGATGAGATAACTGGCTCTGTGGATGAGGGAAAAGCGGTGGACATGTTATTCCTTGACTTTAGCAAAGCTTTTGACACAGTCTCCCACAGTATTCTCGCCAGCAAGTTAAAGAATTATGGGCTGGATGAATGGACTCTAAGGTGGACAGAAAGTTGGCTAGATTGTCGGGCTCAACGGGTAGTGATCAATGGCTCCATGTCTAGTTGGCAGCCGGTATCAAGTGGAGTGCCCCAAGGGTCGGTCCTCGGGCCGGTTTTGTTCAATATCTTCATAAATGATCTGGAGGATGGTGTGGATTGCACCCTCAGCAAGTTTGCAGATGATGCTAAACTGGGAGGAGAGGTAGATACGCTGGAGGGTAGGGATAGGATACAGAGGGCCGTAGACAAATTGGAGGATTGGGCCAAAAGAAATCTGATGAGGTTCAACAAGGACAAGTGCAGAGTCCTGCACTTAGGACGGAAGAATCCCATGCACCGCTACAGACTAGGGACCGAATGGCTAGGCAGTAGTTCTGCAGAAAAGGACCGAGGGGTTACAGTAGATGAGAAGCTGGATATGAGTCAACAGTGTGCCGTTGTTGCCAAGAAGGCCAATGTCATTTTGGGATGTATAAGTATGGGCATTGCCAGCAGATCAAGGGACGTGATCGTTCCCCTCTATTCGACATTGGTGAGGCCTCATCTGGAGTACTGTGTCCAGTTTTGGGCCCCACGCTACAAGAAGGATGTGGAAAAATTGGAAAACGTCCAGGGTAGGGCAACAAAAATGATTAGGGGACTGGAACACATGACTTATGAGGCGAGGCTGTGGGAACTGGGATTGTTTAGTCTGCAGAAGAGAAGAATGAGGGGGGATTTGATTGCTGCTTTCAACTACCTGAAAGGGGGTTCCAAAGAGGATGGCTCTAGACTGTTCTCAGTGGTAGCAGATGACAGAGCAAGCAATAATGGTCTCATGTTGCACTGGGAGAGGTTTAGGTTGGATATTAGGAAAAAACTTTTTCATTAGGAGGGTGGTGAAGCACTGGAATGGGTTACCTAGGGAGGTGGTGGAATCTCCTTCCTTAGAGGTTTTTAAGGTCAGGCTTGACAAAGCCCTGGCTGGGATAATTTAGTTGGGGATTGGTCCTGCTTTGAGCAGGGGGTTGGACTAGATGACCTTCTGAGGTCCCTTCCAACCCTGATATTCTATGATTCTATGATATCTATCCACAGATAAAGCCTGGCTGTATAAATTTATTTTGAGTAATATAAGTATGTTTGTTTATAGCATTATATGACCTTGTGTTTGTTTAAAAAAACATGTTTTACTGTAGTAAAAGGCAACATTTACTGTATATGTTGGGAGTGGTATTGCCTAATTTTTATATTTAGGCACCTAAGTAAAAGTGGCCTGGTTTTCAGATTGCAGAGCACATGCATCTTCCACTCACTTCAGAGAGAGTTATTGGTGCTCAGAACATTTTGAAGATCAAACTGTTTTTATTTAGGTGCCTCACTTTAAGCATCTACATTTGAAAATTTGCCCTTAACGTGTCTGTATCCCAATTTGTTAGAAAAGGTGTGTGGGAGGGAACGACGGGGGGAGACAGGGGAGGGAGAAAGAAGGCTATAGGGTGTTGTGTGAATCCATTAAAGTTTTTAAAGTGCTTTGGAGATAAAGTGGTATATACAATTTTTCATCATCATACTGCAGCCAACCTGTCACAGAAAATATTACCTGGTAATCTGATACAAATTCAAGGCATGTGTATCTAGACAGAAGATTCTGGGAGTAGTTGTTTTTCCCTACTGGCTGTGAGATCAGCTTGTTTACTTGTCGGGTGTCTGTAGCAACATTGCTTTGACTGCTTTGTTGTGATAAGGCTGGTCAGCTGAAGTAAGCTGGGTGTCACAAAATTATTGAGAAAGAGAGGCTTAATTAAGATTTTGTATTTAAAAGCTCAGATGTCTAGGTGTCTTTGTCTATTTTGTCAGAATCTATCCTATCCCCTATTTCCATCTTTCATTTTATTAGAGAAGAAGTACAATCACATAACCAGGAGTTCTCAAACTTTTTTTTCGGGCTGTGATGATTCTCCCCACCCATACCATGCCACCCTTACTTCTGCACTGCTGCTGGTGGCAAAACTGCCTCCAGAGCTGGGCGCCCGGCCAGCAGCTGCCACTCTCTGACTGCCCAGCTCTGAAGGCAGCGCAGAAGTAAGGATGGCAATATGGTGACCCCCCCATACAATACCATTGCTACCCCCAGTTTGAGAAATGCTGACAAATATAAGACTTTAGCAAAAATATCTATCTATTCAAACAAGAGATCTGAAAATATTTGTTACAGGCAGTGAGAACAGTACTTGCAGATACAGATGAAAAATGACAGGAATAATAAGGTAATAAATAATTCTTTATAATTATTTGTTGCTTTACTTAGAAAATATTTTGTCTTAATGTGAAAACTCCATATAATAAAAATAAAGAAGCTATGTAATAGAGTGATATCCTAAAAAGATGAGGTGACCATTGATGATAATACAGAATAGTTTTCTGCCAAATGCTTCACGATTAAACGTAATTTATTTTATTTTTGCAAGACCCTATGAAACAAATTGCAATTAAAAACTATGTTACATTTTATTCAAATATTCTAATAAAATGAGTCTGAAGTAGGTCTTAACTAAACACATTCAAAACTCTCTAAAATTGCAAAATTAGTGTCAAAACCTTTGTACGGTTGGCTTTTATCCTATTTATTTTTTTAACTTGAGAACTGAAATATAGCTGTTACATTTGTAATATATTTGGAACTTCCATAGAACCTCAGGTAACTTTCTGTGCAATCTGTATTAAAGGAAATACTTATAACAATATATCAGTGCTGTATCCTCCAAGTACACTGATATTAAGCTAAATTTTGCCCTGAATTACATCCCATGCAGCCACCCCCATTGAAGAATTTGCCTCCTTGTTTAAAATATTTACTTACTTACTACCTAACGGTGGATTTTGTAAAGAGCATTAGGGGAGTTAGGTGCCCAAATTACATTGAAATTCAGAGAGAGTTGGGTATGTATCTCCTTTACAATCCTTTGAAAATGCCAGCCTGAAAGCATGATAGATGCTGCTGCTTTCTCCTGATTGATTTATTAAAGATTACAGAATAAAGAATTAAAAATACAAAACAGCAAGAAAAGATCAGTGGATTCATAGACCCATATATTTTAAAGATAGAAAGGACACTTGTGATTGTCTAGTCTCACTTTCTGAATATTATAGGTTATAGAATTCATCCAGTAATTCCTGAATCAAGCCCATAACGTCTGATTGAGCTAGAGGATATATGTTAGACAGACATCCAGTCTTGATTTAAAGACTTCAAGTGTTAGAGAATCCAACACATTTCTTGGTAAATTGTTCCACTGGTTGGTTAACCCCACAGACACTGCAGGACACATTAAGCTATTTGTATCCAAAAATGTCAATTTTATATTTCTTCTTTAAGTGGAAAAAAGAACAACTAATACTTTGTATGTGAAGTTGTTTTGTTTAATTGGTGTTTACATGATTACTCCAGCTTTTGTTCAACATCTGAACACCATTAGATGGCACCATCTACCATGTTTAAAATGTAGTTAAACTTAATTGAAAAACATGCAAAATTTGTTGTAATCTCCCTTTGGAGGTATTAAAATTATTTGCCTAATAAATATGAGAATGAGCTCATGATTGGTTTTAGTTTTGCTAATGAGTCTCTCTCCTCCTGCACATGCTCCCAAGCCAGCTACAAATCTTTGCAGGTGCTTGTCCCCTCAATTTGGTATATCTTTTCTATGCAACAGATCTTATTTCTTCAGCCACCAGTGCTGCCTTTTACTGTTTCTCTTCCTTCTGCCTCGACAAAACCATGTTTTGAAACAAAGGGTTCCCGCCATCTGCTGAAGCTATATAAGGCAGGGAATGACATCATCCGTGGTTCTTCACTCCCCACACAAGCAGACACCTGGAAACACCTTAGGAACAAAGACTGAACTGGGGGAAGTGCTAGACCCAGGCGAAAGTGATTTCTAGCCTGTGTATGAAAGACCTGGAGATTCCAAGCTGTAAAGCAAGTGCAGCTTGTCCCTTAAGAATCTGCAGCCTGCTTGTATAATTTCTCAGGGTGAGAATCTGCTGGTTCATATCCTATCTTTCTAGTATCTTAGACTTAGTTTACGTTTTGTTTATTT